TTTTAAACATATTTGACCCCTGTGACCTTGAATATGGGTGAAGGTCATTCATTTGAACAAACTTTGTAGCCCTTCATCCAAGTTTGCTTCTGGCCAAATATCGACACCCTAGGCCTTTCGGTTATTAAGAAGAAGTCGTTTAAAGTAAAATATTGACGACGGACGACGGACGGACGGACGGACGGACGACGGACGCCGCGCCACGGCATAAGCTCACTTGGCACTTCGTGCCAGGTGAGCTAACAAATGATAATAAAAGAATCGAATTACATAGATTATATACATTTAGCAGGAAAATGGTGCATCAAGAAAACATAATAAAAACCAAAGAGTGACATTAAGGGACGTGATGTTAAGTGAAATGTACTCTGTATAAATCCACTCATGTGATGAGTAAGAACAATAAAGCTTTTCTAACAAGTAAAGCATTTGTGCTCCCAGGCAAGGTTTCAGGAACATCAAATCCTATAACAAACTACAGGACAAGAGCAGAAGGCTTACACGGACAAGAGCAGAAGGCTTACACGGACAAGAGCAAGGCTTACAATACCCCTGAACCTGCTAGAGACATGAAGAAATCTCCAATGTAAAACTAACTGTAACTGTGAAGTTGTATCAAATTCTGTTAAGAAATGCGGCTGCTTCATTGATGAGTGTGATAGACAGAAGGAACAAACAACTGGAAGAGCATCTTCGCTAGCCTTGAGGGTTCGCTTAGTATACACTCCACTTAAGTGGAGTGTGTACGAAGCGAACCCTTGGCTAGCAAAGATGCTGAAAGAGGTGTTTGTGGCAGTGGTAGGGTTGGGGGTTCATTTCTATAGCAAACTATTTTCTAGGTCTTTTTAATTTCCGCATCGTAATGACAGCTGCTGACAAGACTGTCCATTGATTTTAGGTCTCAAATTTAAGGTCAATGAACACAGTTGAACTTTTTGGAGCTTTTTTACTGCAAAAGTTTACTTTTGCATTTTACATAGAAACAAAATTTCACAAATTTCAACATCATTCATTTTTTATGTTGTCAAATACATATCTTTATTAAGAATTGCCAGATATCACAATTAAATAAGGTATACTCACATGTTACAGCGGTGGTTTCCAGAGTCTTGTACCAGACCGGGGGATTTTTAAGAAGACCTTTGACATTGTCAAGATTTCCTCTATTTTGTGCTGGAGTCAGTCCAAGAATATGACACATCAGAGGGTAAATATCTACCATATCAAAGGCAGGTGCAGTGATACCTTTCTGAAATGCTGGTCCAGCAGCAATGAAAAATGGCCATACATCAGACACTGTCTGTGGATTGTAGCCATGATTTCCCTCTGAAACAGAAAATTGATATGACATAAGAAGGCACAGTGGTCTAGTGGTAGGACGCCGGGCTTGTGACCAAAGGGTTGCGAGTTTGAGTCATGTCACGGCAATGTGTTTTATCTTTGAGTAAGATACGTTACTCTTCTTGTTCTAGTGGCTGTATGCTCCCAAGGGCGTTGAGAAAGATATTGGCTGGTTGCAAAGGCCCTATAACCACGGATAATAATTTGTGAACCGCTTTGATACGACCTACAAACTAGGTTGTGATAAAGTGGTAGTTATGAACCTCGAATTATTATTATTATTAGAAAACTTTAAAAACATGAACAAGAAGCTGACAGAGCCTTCATGATCAGTATTGATCACATAAGTTTCAGGAATTTTGGTAACAAGTTTGAAGTCGTTCATACCTGTATTTTGAGGTTTAACCCTTAATGTGAGCTTAACGCAAATGAAGCTTTCGCTGAATAAAGTAAACTGCCCTCTCCCACGTGTACTTGGCTATTATAATTCCTTTGAGATTAAGAAGCTAGTGTGACAATGCATACTATAACCCTGATATTACCTGGTGGACATCAGCATTACACTGATTTCATCGTGTGGACATTGGCTTTACACTGATTTCATGATGTGGACATTAGTATTATACTGATTTCATGGTGAGGACATTAGTATTACACTGATTTCCAGGTGTGGACATTAGTATTACACTGATTTCACGGTGTGGACATTAGTATTACACTGATTTCACGGTGTGGACATTAGCATTACACTGATTTCACTGGCCCGGGTGGACATTAGCTTTACACTGATTTCACGGTGTGGACATTAGCATTACACTGATTTCACGGTGTGGACATTAGCATTATACTGATTTCACAGTGTGGACATTAGCAGTATACTGATTGTTATTGGACTGACAGAAGTATGGATGAATGGACAGGTGACCACTGTGTGCCCTACTACTTTAAGAGGGAAAAGGGGGTATAAAATGCTGGGTACATTTGTAAAATTAGGTTGAATTTCTTAGCTGATGTTTATTTTAGAAATGATGGGAAATATGTACCACCAGATGATGAACATGTATGTAATACAGGCATCAAATAAACTTCAACCTCCGCTTCAGTAACTGGAGTGTGAAACAGCTTGATTATAAGGACAAAACGCTAGTTGTGTAGTGGAGGGGACCTTAATTAGTGGCGGTCAATTAATATGTCTAGACCATGCCTGATTTTTACTGCAGTGATGACCACCCTTAGGTATTACATACTCAGCTCACTAGTTTTATTTTACATATAAACATGCATTCAAAATTAAATAATTGATTATCAAGTTATATATCAACAAATATTTTATGTGAATGGCAGATTGAACAATTACCACAATAGACCTAGGACGAAATACAATCTCTGATCATCAAAGTTAATGCGGGCTGGACCATAAAATTATATTTTTCGAATTCCAACTGGACCTGCAATAGATATGAATGGACTTATATTCAAGTATTGGCTTATTGCTGGATAAATACTATGATAGCTACACTAATATTATCCTGTTTGGAGATCATGCAGGCACAAGTGCCCACCAAAATATCAATGTTAAACACTTGAAACCTCTGTGGCAAAACCAAACTGGATCAGAACAACTCAAGATTTTACCATGTAAAGACACAAGCAATTCTTACTGTTGGCTTTTGTTGCGTTATTTCCAATAACCCATCCTTTTTTCGCCTCCAAAATAATTTCCATGATGCGTCGGTTTTTGCTGAAGTATCTATTCTTCATCTCTGTGCCATTTCTCCACCAAGCATAGAATCCTTCGTGATCTTTCACCTTGCCGTCTTCTCCAAATAAGGCAGCAGAAACATGCGTTTCATGACCTAGATATAGAAATATATAATTATATATATGTAGATTAAGAAATAATAATTTTGTAGTATTTTATATCCATTCAAAGACTTTAATTAACAAGAGGCCCAAGAGGGCCTGTATCGCTCACCTGAATATTTAAGCAGTCATAGCACAATATTCTCATTAAATATTATATTGCACTAAAAATATTTCCCTCGCAAACTTTGTTGGCTCCATCTGTTGAAACAACCAGCAAAATAACATTCTATGCGTTTTGATTCTCCTTCAGAAGTTGCTTGACATATTTTTCCCTGTGACCTTGTAAGTAGGTTAATGTTATTTTCCTTCTCAAATTGGTTAGCTCTATTCCAAAATGCTACCAGCCAAATATTATGAATCCATTCCTTTTAGTTCTTGAGAACAAATCCTTTAAAATGTTGTTGACAACTGTGACCTCTAAAGAAGGTTGAGGTCATTTTCATTCGCAAACTTTGTTGGCTCTTTCCCAGGAAATAATCAGCCAAATATGAAGGTTCTATACCGTCCAGTTCTTCAGAAGAAGTTGTTCTAAGTGTAAGACATATCTGACTCCGGTGACCTTGAAAGTAGGTCAAGGTCATTCTCATTCGCGAACTTTGTTGGGCCCTTTCCCAGGAAATAACCAACCAAATATTAAGGTTCTAAACCGTCCAGTTCTTCAGAAGAAGTTGTTCTAAGCGTTAGACATATCTGACTCCTGTGACCTTGAAAGTAGGTCAAGGTCATTTTCATTCGCAAACTTTGTTGAGCTCCTTCCCAGGAAATAACCAGCCAAATATTAAGGTTCTATACCGTCCAGTTCTTCAGAAGAAGTCGTTTTAAGAGTTTGACATATCTGCCTCACGTGACTTTAAAAGTAGGTCAAGGTCATTTTCATTCTCAAACTTTGTTGGGCTCTTTTCCCAGAAAGCTACAAGGCAAATATTTAGGTTCTATAACTTTCAGTTCTTCAGAAGAAGTCGTTTTAAGCATTAGACATGTCTGGTTCCTGGGACCTTGAAAGTAGGTCAAGGTCATTTTCGTTTTCAAACTTTGTCAGGCTCTATCCCAGGAACCCGCCAGCCAAATTTAAAGATTCTATACCTTTCAGGTCTTCAGAAGAAGTCGTTTGAAGTGTTTGAGACATTTGACCCCTGTGACCTTGAAAGAAGGTCAAGTTCATTTTCATCCTCAAACTTTGCCGGGCTCTATCCCAGGAAGTCATCAATCAAATATAAAGATGCTATACCGTTCAGTTCTTCAGAAGAAGTCGTTTGAAGCATTTGACATATTTGACCCCTGTGACCTTGAAAGTAAGTCAAACTAATTTTCATTCTCAAACTTTGTTGGGCTCTAGCTCACTCATAATCCCAGGAAGCCACCAGCCAAATATAAAGATTCTATACCTTAATCAGTTCTTCAGAAGAAGTCGTTTGAAGTGTTTGACACATTTGACCCCTGTGACCTTGAAAGTAAGTCAGTCATTTTCATTCTCAAACTTGCTGGGCTCCATAAAAGGAATTTATCAGCCAAATATGAAAATTCTATACCTTTTAGTTCTTCAGAAGAAGTCGCTTGAAGTGTTTGACATATTTGACCCCTGTGACCTTGAAAGTAGGTCAAGGTCATTTTCGTTCTCAAACTTTGTCGGGCTCTTACCAACAAAACTTTCATTTAAATATCATGACTCTAGGCCTGTCCGTTCTTAAGAATAATTTGTTTAAAGGAGAAGTTGACGGACGACTCAGGACGGACGACGGACACCGCACCATGACATAATGAAAAATGAAAAATCAATTGTTTAAATTGTTTCTGACAGAATTACTTGAAAACAAGTTTATATAAAAAATGGTATATGTATAGATAAAGTGCATGAAAGTCTGTTATCACTCATCACAACAATGCCTTTCCTTTAAACTGTATAAACTTAAAGGATAATTATCATTCAATAGCATTAAAAAGTTCAAACATAAGTTAGTCATTGAAGTGAAAATTAAATAGATATACTCAATTAAATAATTTATGACCTTCACCCAGGTGATATGGACATTTATGCTAAATTTTAAAACACTTTTCTTCTGTTTTGATGAAATTTAGTAGGATATTTGACAGAAATTATTAGCTGATTCTACTTACCTTTACGGGGCAATACCATCAAATCAATACTGCTTTTGTATTGAGAATGGGTTGTGTACCAACTGCGATCAAGTATCGTATCCAAATCCACAACACGGTCCTCAAATTGGTTCATCCCATGATCTGAAGTCAGGATTATATTCATTTTCTCAGACAGGCCAGTCTTGTTTAATTTTTCTCTCAGATAACCAAGTGCTTGATCCAGAAGTTTGATTTGCTCTCGAACTTCTTTAGACAGTGGTCCATATTTATGTCCTGAAAGGTCTGGTTCCTCAAAATATAACATTCCAAAATTTATAGCATTGAAATTCGTGTCGGTGAACCAATCAATAAGAACATCAATTCTATATTGAAGCGAAATTGTATCGGATAAATTGAATAGTGTTGCACGAGGAATGATCCTTGGTTCAATGCATTTCACAGGTGCTACTCCTCCAGGCCAGAGAATAGACCCGCTGTTTCGTCCCCTTCCTCCTTTTTGATTTGTTACCCATATAGGTTCTGCTCCATTGTCAAACCATTTGGATTGAAAATTTTGATAGAAATTATACATATTGAATGTATCATTCAGATATGGGTCAAAGAAAACGTTGTCCACAACACCGTGCTCTTCTGCATATTGACCTGTCAAAATAGTCATGTGATTTGGAAATGTGTTAGAAGGAAATATGTTTCTAATATGGCTTGTTTTCACTCCATGATCAATGAAATGCTGAAAATTCGAAATATCTGATTTATTTAATGCTGTTTGATCGAGATAGTCATGCCTGAAACCGTCCATAGAAATTAAAATGAGAAGAGGCAGGTCTGTTGACTGTTGCGGTTTTGCAGTAACACTTATCCAAAAATGAAGCACAACAAAAATTACAAACAGGAATTTAGAGGCTTCCAGACACATCTTGATTCAAGCAAGATTGAGATCCCCCAAATAGTTATTGTTCAAATATCTCTGATAAGCTGGAATCCTTTTGTCATTAGTAATTCCTCAGCTGGTACATACATGTTGTGACGAAGTTACTGTTCATTTTGCATTAGACTCTAATTCATGTTGCTTCGCTGACCCCCTATATATAGCTACCTCATTAGAGAACACCGGTTTACAGTAAAAGGTATGTATATCCTGATAAACTCTGTTGCTATCATGTCCACAATAGCATGAATGTACAAAATGACAAAAGGCGTTAACTTATTTCAGATGATATCTATCGATCTATCTCTTTTGTTGATGTTCTTTACATGCTCATCATTTGGCAGGCATGCTGTGATTTCAAACATTAAATAAGATATTCCTAAAAATATATTTCAACGAGTGGCAATGTGACCCATAACGCTGCATAAGATAGACTGCCAAAAAGAAAGTAAACATGTAATAAGGAGACCGGATACGGATTTGTTATTTTCCGGACAAAAACTTTTTTATAGTGGAAAATGTGTATGATTAATTTTGCCCATATACCATTCTTTTAAGCGCTTATATAAGTCATCGAGGTTTTAATACTTCTAAACGTTTTGGTTAAAAAAACGTCTGATGTTAGGATTGTTTTGTTTTTATTCTAGTGTATTCGAGTAAGCCGGAAATATTAGTGCCTGTTTTAATTTTATAATAACTATATTGAAATTAATATTATTAAAAAAATATATAGTTTGATAGTTTTTTCATCGAATTAAATTCACATTAGGTCAACTTGTAAATACATATAGCTCTTCATTTTAGATAACTAATTTGTTTACGGAGAATTGTTGTTCATTTCCGGTTAATTTCCGATGACAACCGAACTTCCCTTGGAGACCAAACAACTATGGCGGACAACATGGAGGTAAACGTTGATCAATACTATTTTCATTCCATTTCAAGATTACATGCGTAATATAACGCACATAGTAGTTGTTCGTTAATGCTTATTGTGTTATTAAGAGTTGTTACGAATGTTTTATTGATATTGTCTGCAAGTACCTAGTGCGATAATGCGTCAGAGACGGTCGGCACTTAACTGGAAGACTTCACGAATAAGTCAAAATAGGAGCACTGATTCATCTTTCAAAGCCTTTTCCTTGGCTGTTTTATTTATCAAATATTAAAGATACATTGAAAACATAAATCTGTGATGTTATTTGATGGATGTTTCACAATATTCATTTGATATGCAGTACACGTATACACTGACTGATCTATCCATTTATAAATAAGGATTGAAATGCATTTTTAAGGTTCAACACGCCTCCTAAATGATGATAATGATCGACTGAATGAGTATACTGTAGTCACCCCCTCCTCCCGATAAGTCATAGTTAAATACAGAAATTAAGCATCTGAATTTAGAGTACAAGTTCATATATCCAAATAAATTGAGTCTGAATATTAGGGTAATAATGACTTATCAGGGGGAGGGTGAAAAGTTGAAATTTAGGTTGACCATACCATCTTTTAAGATTTTTTTGAACCTTAACGTTGATGATGCTATATAGATTCGTTTAAAAGATAATCCTGTGCTGCACGGTATCATTCCAGCATAAATGGTATACAGATGCATTTCAATGATTTATTTCATCTTCTTTCGTTATCCAATCCTCCTTCAATCATTTGAAGTTTACGGACTGCTGTGTGTGCTGTGCAATGCATGGATTTAAAAACAGTGAGGTTAAAACTTTATACATGGAGTGGTGCTTAGAGGAATTTAATGTAACGGTAACAAGTACAGCTGGAGTTCGCTGTACTCGGAATACATCAATGGATGGAGACATCACCACAGTGGGTGGGAGAAGATTCCACTGTGTGATTGTTCGAGGGAAGAAAGAATATTTAGAGCTGTCTTTGGTTGAGTGAATGTGTCTGAAGGAAAGAGAGTGGTTTTGACAAGTTCGACTGTCTGATGGTATGAAAATGGAGGAACTGGGGATGGCGACTAGGTTACGTACTGTCTTATACATAAGAATGAGGCGGGCCTTAAGACGTCATTCTGCAAGTGTTGGCCACTGTAGTGTGCTTAACATGTCAGAAACCCTGCTGGTATTGTGATACCTATTGCAGGTATACCTGGCAGCGCGTCTCTGTACCATTTCAAGTTTGGATATTGAGTCTGATGTGTGTGGGTCCCACAGGGTACAGCCGTATTCTAATTTAGGGCGGACTAGTGACAGATAGGCTTTACTTTTAATGTCATTGTTTCCTGTTTTGAGATTTCTTTTCAAAAAGCCTAAAGATCTATTTGCTGCAGCGGCTGTATTTTCTATATGTTTAGACCATTTTAAATCAGATTGAAGTGTGACTCCCAGATATTTAGCTGAAGTGACAGTTTCATGTAGCCTTATATATATGTTCAAATCAACAAACTCAATATTTTTGTATACTCCTTCTCATTTAACTTTGTAGTCTCGTTAGGTTCAAATTAATTTTATTATGCCAAATATTTTACCAAATGTCGGAACAGACAATTTTGCTGGAACAAGATTGTGGTTTCTATGATTATCGGTCCTTTAAAAAAAAAAAATTTGAAGATCAGTCGCTTGTTACGCAAACAGTACATTACAGTGAAAGAGTAAAACAATATCCAATTGGAAATCATTCACATATGATATTTCTATAGCTAATGATTGATTATAAAAAAAAAACCGGTTTTGTTTGTTAGATTTATCTTAGGCCTGTACAAAAGAAATGTAAACATATACATGTTAATTATATTTAGTCATGCAATAAATAGAAACATTCATATGCTCAGCATGTATATTGGTGATTTGGCACAGTAATGACACTTACACTGAACATTTGATAAATTACAGCCTGTGCCCGCCATGGAAGAAACACAGGAAAAACATGAAGATGCAGGGGGTACAGAACTACCATCTGCACAGACAGAATTGAAAGCATACACATCCACAGATTCAACTACAGAATCATCTGTTCCTGAAACCCCCAAAGTGATTACAATGGAGGCCGTTAGTGTGACAGATCCATCCCTTCCTCCATCTGAAGTTCAACAATTTGAAGAGCTACTTTCAAAAAAAAAAAGCAGTGACATCGATCCATTTGATAGTGATGAGGTATGTTATTATATCAATTTTATTCTTTCCCACATTCCCTAATAAACTACAGGGGACGAAGTTATAACCATCTGTTTCTCAATGTCTAATGAAAAGAAACAAATAAACATACATGTACAGTAAAACCCGACCAAATCGAACTCATAGGGTCCAGATCAATAGTTTGAGGAATACATGGTATTTGACGAATACGAATAAACCAAGTTCGAGGAAGTTGGGTTTTACTTGTGCGTTTATATGTAAGACTTTATTATGAGTTTTCTTATTGAATTATTACATTTTAGAAATTGTCGGCCATTCCCATTGGAAAATACTCTATGCAAAAAATGTTTGTGTTTGTTTGTTTGCTTGTTTGTGTTTTGAATTTTCAGCCGGTATTCATGCAGATTTAGCATACAAAATGAAATATATAATAGTGGTCTTAAATGATGCTTTGTAAAAAAAAAATCAAATTTCAATATAGATATGAGTAATTAATTGACACAATTTTCCCAATTCCAGATACACTGGCTCAATCCATACCACAAATAGTAAAAAATAACCTGTATAAGCAATTGTTATTTGGTGTATGTCTTAGATGTTTCTTAAAGAGCTTGTACATAAATAAATCAAATACTATAGAGAAACTTACCCGCATATGTACAGTATAAGCAGCCAAAGATATAGAAAACCTTTTTAACTCAACCACCCCTGAAATTTCATAATGAACTATTCCAACCATTGAATTGGATGGGTTCAAATGTATCTTCAGGGGTGAAGGAGTTAATATTTTGGATAATGCAAATTTAGTCTGATAATCCCAAACATTGAAAGATGTTAAAAAAAAAGTGTTTTCACATATTGTTATTCGTTAATATATAATTATTTTTTGGATTTCAGACTGAATTGAGATTCCTACATTCCAAACCAACATGTTTTATTGTCATTGGAAAACCTGGATCTGGAAAAACACTTTTAGCGAGGAGGTTGGCTGCAGAATGGAAATGTGAAATAATTAATCGTAAGTTTACCATGAATTCATTACCTATAACTTGAATGGTTTTTATGTGTTTGAGGGTGTCAACATATTTTTTTTAATAATTGAAAATGTTTCATTTTGTGTTTACTTGTTAACAAAATTTGTCTTATTTGCATGAAGTGTAACATATAGATTTTTATGTAAATTTAGTCACTGATTTTCATAAAGAGGAGGAATTATAAAATATATTTGCTTTTGTTGAATGTTGATACATATATATATGCAGAATTTAAGAGGTTGTTTCTTGTTTGCTCTGCAGCAACTGACCTGATCCACCAATCGGTAGAGCTACAGACAGATATGGGAGTGAAGTGTCATGAAATACTAGTGAAGGGTGAAGCCATTCCTGAAAGTGTTGTTATCAAAATGGTAGAGGATAAAGTCAACTCACCCGAGGTTGCCCATCATGGTATGTAAACAACTTACACTTATACATATATATTCAAAGAAAATTTTCCCCACACAGGGTATTTTTGTGTAATTTAGTATTTCAATGTCTGCAATCCAAGTTTTATTGATACTATTAATTTCACCCCTGTGTCTCATTTTAGGATATGTTCTGGATGATTTTCCATGCTTGTCAGAAGAGTCTATGAGCTTGAAGGATCAACTGGAGTTGGTGAAAAACTGGAAATTGAAGCCAGACTTTATCATTAACTTGAAGGTTAGAATCATTCATGCTTTTATTACCAGACATATTGTTAAAGGTACCATATATATGTGTCATTCATCCGAGAGCAAATTCCAAATGATATACTGAACTATCAAACAGCCTCAAGTCAAAAATATGTTGTGCATTTACTAGGTACTGTATATATCAGTTATATTTCACGGGGGTTTTAATATCGCTATATTCGCACTTTGACTAAATATCTGCGATTTTTAAACACCAAAGAAATTAATGAAAATGTTAACCACTTTTACAGACCTTATCACAACATGTCAAAAATACTTACAACCCAACGCTGTTATGCAACCTTAAACGAACTCAAATCAGATTATCATCGGACAACTGGGCAGTCCATGTAAAAACAACTCTTACATATAAGTAGCCACAATATATTTATGTGTACACAGTAGGTGATTAATTGATTACAGTTTACTCCTACAAAGGTACATACACATTTGATTTTTTTTCAAGTGAAGTCACTGGCGGATGACGACACTCAGAATCAGTGTTTTCCAATGGTTTACCTGTATATCGAGGTTTAACCCTTAAATGATGACATTCAAAATACTTTGCATGACACATGGGATTCAGGTGCATAGCTAAATTTAACCTCTGTGAATATGCACTGAATACGAAACTGTGAAGTATATATATATTGACCCAGCAAATTTAAAGCGCTAAACAGTAATAGCAAGGGGTTCTCTGATACTCGCCTTTAAAAAAAATATGGTTAACTTTTGATTACACTGTGTTTATAATGTAACATCTCTTTAAACTGGTATTAAAATTTAAAGTAACATTTTAAATTTTCAACATTTATTAATCAATTGTTCCTCATTAAAATTTAACATAAAGTGTATCACTTTCCATGTAGGTTCCAGACCGAGACTTGGAGAGACGTCGGACTGGACAGCGTATTGACCCAGTGACAGGTGAAATCTACACAAGAGCAGTCTACAACCCAGATAAACCACCAAAGGAGGTTTGTCTAACATGATGCTCTATAAAAGTTGACAATATTGCTCTAGTGGTAGGACGCCGGGCTCGTGACTGAAGGGTTGCGGGTTCGAGTCATGGCACTGCACTGTGTTGTATCTTTGAGCAAGATACTTCACTCCGCTTGTTCCAGTCTACTCAGCTGTGAATGAGTATGTGGTTGGGCAGTGATAGAATTGTAGAATGCTATCTGTGAGCGCTGAAATGGCAGCACCGGCTGTATGCTCCCCAGGGAGTTGAGAAATATGTTGGCTGGTTGCAAAGGCCCTATAACCACGGATAATAATTTGTGAACCGCTTTGAGAAGACCTACAAACTAGTTTGTGATAAAGCGGTACATAAGAACCTCTAATTATTATTATTATTATTATTATTAGCTCAATTTCTTCAGTGATCTATTGAAATGTTAAGCCAGATTAATGTCCTATCTATAATTATACAATGTTTTTCATGTGGTGTACAGAAGTTCGTTTAAAAAAAATATAATTTCATTAAAGTATGAATTAATTGATGTTTGTTTGATTAAATAGCCAGAGAAAGATGAAGGTGATGAGGATGAAGAGGAGGAGGAGGAAGCGGAGGAAGAAGCTACACCTGAGGTAATTACACAAGTGTAAAGAGAGCACCTTGATGACTCTTGGGGTCTGGTCGTTTATGCAGAACAACCGGTTGGACCGTTTTGTAACAATGTAACAATTTTGGGTATAAATCCTGTCGGACCTGCAAATGTTTATGCAGGCCTTTCAAGGCTTTGTCAAGGCTCGCCTGAAAGCAGCATCAGATTACTAGGTTCGACCTTATTTAATAAACGAACAACTGTGGTCCGACCGGTTTGACCGTTTTAACGAAAACGGCCTTGGGTACACATAAATTGACGGTGTACAAAAAACACTTAAAAAATTCATTTGGTCATTTTCTGTTTTCATTTAGGAAAGGCGTTAGCACTGGCAACTATTAAAACTGGTTACCTTAAGATTTATCTTTCCCATAGCTTCAAAACTTTGCTTATTGTTAGCCAGTATGATGTTGCTATTAAGTCAACCATATCTCTTAGGAATAGCCTCCTCACAACTTTTTCATCATTACACTTGTCCTTTTTATACCAGGACGGTGAGATCATACAGGAGCTACCCACAGAGGTGCTGGAGCGTCTCATCAAACGGCCAGAGGACTTACCGTCTCAAGTGGAGGAGAACATACGCAAATACAAAAACAACATGCTCAGGATTCTAGAGGTACACGATATCAGGAGGCACACAAGATAACAATGAGAATCAGTTGATTTTATGAAGCGAAATATAGACAGTAAACCCAGCAAATGTTACAACCTGATTTTGGTGATCTGATGGCAAAATGCTAAATTTTTTCAGTTTTGTAAAAAAAAAAACTTGATGATTTTCTTAAATAATTATTCTTATGAAACTTGAAAGTATTGTTTGTTTCATGTTGATTGTTTATTATTGTGAATATATTTGTGTGATTATAACGTATACCAAGTAACAATACAACTTTTACCTTTTTAGGACTACATGGCTGATCATGATCAGCAATACCTGATAGAAATGGACTCCAACCAGTCAATCAGTGTTTTATTCAAGGTATGGCAATAAAATGGATATAGGAAAAAAAACAACATATGTTTAATTCAAAGTGAAAAAAACACATTACACAGACAAAAACAAAAATCTGCTTGATTAATTAACCCCTATCTCTGATTTAATCAAAGCAATTGAGATGAGAAAATAAGTGCAGCGCACATGATAATAAATCAAAGAAAATAAAAAGTGTGTAATTGACTAAATATTTATCATGGTGTACAGCTAAAATAAAATACTAATAGCAGTTTACCGATATGTAGAATTTAAAGATATGAATTCTTTTTATTTGTTGACATATTTATCGCTAAATGCTTTCTAATAATGTTACATGTACATGTTCAATCAAAATCATGTGTGATATAAAAAAAAAGAAAGCATATACTGTTTCAAGTTTTGTTTATAGAAATTGTGATGGGAAAATATGTTTTAAAATCTTTTAAAATTGTTTGCATATATGTGTTCCTGATTTACAGCAACTGTTGTCTCGGCTGGACTGCTTCGTATTGAGGAAGGCTGCGGTTCCTCTCCGTCTCCATGACCCAGAGGAAGATGAAATTCCAGAGGACATTGATACCGATGAGCTGATGAGGACACTTGCACCAAAACAGATGGTTGCACCACGCTATAGGTGGAGACGGAGTCGCTGGCTGCGAAACTGTCCAGTCGCACTCTATGAGGGAAACATACTGCCCGGCAAACCAGAATATGCTGTCAGGTAATTATAAACGATGTCATCTGACAAAAATTTTCAACAGCTCCAGGATCATTTCTTTGTAATAAATCTGAAAATGATTTCTTAATGTGTTAACAATTTTGAGATACAAATAATGCTTTCAGTATTTTGTCTATCTTGTCAATATTCTGTATCTGGTATCAATATCATTAATATATTTCTTGATTATGGTATATCAAATGTCTATACATTTCTATGTAGAATACGTGATAGCATGTTCTTATCTTGTTTCTTAGTTTTCTGGACAAGGTTTACACACTGTCCAGTGCGGAAGCGCTTGAGAAATTTCTGAAGAATCCCAGACCCTACATAATGCCCTCTCAACCACGGCCTCCTTGTAAGCTCTCTATCCTAGGGCCCCCTCTTGCCGGGAAGACAACTCTTGCTCATCTTCTGGCTCAGAAGTACAATGCTAAGGTTTGTATCAATTTATAGTTAGAAATGTGGGATTGTAGGATTGATATATCATTATAGGATGTTAAAGAGAATATTGATTGTTTAGGATATTCTCCATGATATTTTTAATTTTTTCTTTCTTAGCTTTTTCAATTCCTGAATGGTAAATTTATCAATGAGGAAGTGTAAATTTGAAATATTTTTATAGGTAAAACTGACTGAATACAGTTATATACTTACGACAGAAAAAATATTTGCTTCTTATTTATTTGTTTTATTTGAAATGTTTTTGGGAGTCATCCATAGGGAGGATGTAGATGATATGAGTGGTGCCATAAATTAATGTTTCCTCTGTAGGTTCTTGACATGGATGAGCTCATCAAACCTAGAATGGAAGAGGAGAAGAAAAAGTTGATACAACAGACCAAGGATGAGACGACAGAAACAGCCTTGACCTCTGTCAGACAGAAGATCAAAGAACAGTTTGATGCGGAAGTGGCCGCAAGAGAGGCAGAAGGTGGGTTTCAGGCTTTTGTAGCTTTGATTTAATTTTCATCATCAAAATCCATTAAAAAAAATGCCTTAAAATGAATGTGTTTTAAAAAGTATTTACAATATTTTCCTGGATGAAGTAGCTTTCAACATGTAAGGGTATATGTGTTCTGTGTTCCTTGATCATCCTTGATATCCAGGGGTTACGCTCACTTTCGCTCTCTACACCCTGGAATATATGTCATAGCAAAATTGAAGGCACGGAGATAGCTATTTGATTGGTCTCAGGTAAAAAAAAAAGGATTGATATATCACTAGGCTGATACCTGTCCTTTGAAGATTACAAAGGAGTGACGCCCGATTTCAAAGCCTGTCATTTTTTACCGTCACGTGACCGTGATATTCTTTTGATGTATATATATCAAAGGATCAAAGTAGTCTTCTCGTCTCATCTTCAAGGTGCTGCACACTAGTACTGAGCCTTCGATTTTGCTATGACATATTCCAGGGTTTCAGAGAGTGAAAGTGAGCGTAACCCCTGGATATCGAGGATGTTCCTTGATATGTTTGTGGATATATCTTACAGGGTAACAAATAGAGATCTATTACACTCACAATTTCTACCTAGTTAATTGGGGGGTTTATTAATAGAATCTATCGCTACTGGTTGTGTAAGATAGAGACATCTCAACCCGAGGACTAAGATTTTTTTGTTCAGAACGAGGCTTGCCGAGTTCTGGACAAAAAATCTTAGTCCGAGGGTTGAGATGTCTCTATCTTACACAACCAGTAGCGATTGATTATTTTTCTCCCATATCTAACAGTATTTTAATGTGAAATAAAGGTTAACATGGACCCAAAACACATACAGGCAATTTGTTGATGGATTGTTGACGTGACGTCATTGTATTGTTGAAGTGACGTCATGCCATTGTTATGAATAGGGGAATCCCCCCGTCTCAACCCTAGGGCGGAGACAGATAAATCTAGCACCGGCAAAACGGGAGATAAATCTGTCAGGTGTGAGAGAAATTGGGCTATACTGCTATTTACTGCGCTACGTTGATTCCATTTTCTATGGAATGCATACATAATGTTGTGTACTATGTCCATTTAGTCACCTTTATATATACCCACGTATACTCGTCCCATTATATATACTTATATACATGTATATAGTATATTTAGCGAATATCAGTTCCCCTCATTCCTTGTTCCTTGTTTGTCCCTACAACCACATTGTGATGCTAAGTCGTTAATTATACAGGTAAAATATTTTGTGTTTTGTAATTGGTTATCAAACGGGAAATGAAGTTAGACAGTTATCTGAGTTTCTTTGAAAACTATTCTGATCCTGATGTCAAATTTTGTTGTTGGCAAGAGTAATTTATGTTGGAAATACATATTTATCTCAACAGAAGAAGAGAGGTTGGCTAAACTAAATAAAAAGACAGTTGGTAGGTCAAATTACAAGATATTTCTGCATTAATATTACACTGTTGGTGTAAGATGTTCTCCAACACTATAACCAGAACCCAGGGCCCGTATTCATGAAGCCGTTCTCATGCTCAAGCCTGGATTTTGTGCTCAAGCCTTATTTCTTTTTCAGTTTGTAAAATAATAATAAAATTTAATATTTCCATTAATTTGCGAACAAATTGAAGAAACTTAAAGCCAAATACTGTTTTCAAAGTTTACATTTGACTTTTTGATCGTTTGACATGATTTAAGTGAGTAACAAGAAAACTGGTTTGAGCACAAAATCCATGTTTGAGCATGAGAATGTTTTCATGAATACGTGTGCCCAGATCTTACCTGATCAGTCTCTACATTAATGATGACAAATTTTAATTTTAATTGAATTACCAGTTCCAAAAACATTATCTGAAATTTTATTGACTTGATTTAAGAATAAAAATTTATCATTTAATGACTTAATTTAAGAATAAATATTCATCATTAATTAAGGCTGATCAAGTGTTATTACGGTCACAAATCTGAGAAAATTAACGTCTTTGGGAAAGTGACTAACGTGGGAATGGACCTGCTCCAACCTTTAATCCTGATCCGACTGCTATTACATTATAATCAGATTTATCACATGTACAACCCCATGTTCTCATCTGTTCTTCCCAAGTTACAGCACTACACTACAAATTCCTTGATGCCTTCCTTTAATCATCCATTTCAAGCATCAGAGCCATGTTTCTGCTGTTTGAATATTATGTTTATAATCATAGAACTTATACCTCCGTCTCTTTATGGATTAATTTCCTACCAATTCTTAACACCTTCCATTACTAGCATACAAACTGCAACAGATGTCGGGTTCAGAAGCACGACGTAAGTTTTTTGGTAGCCTGGTGAAATTAACCGTAATGTTTGTGTGTATCTTATTGTAGAGGTGAATTCATAACATTGTTAGTTTGAGTTTAAGTGTTAGCCTTAATATACTCTGAAAGCAGATCAAATAGAATTTGTTGTGATTGCTTAATCTTATGTTTTAAAAGTTGCCTAATTTTTATCAATGGTTAGATCTATTCTGTTTGTGTGTAGAAGTGATATGTAGTGATTGGTAATTTATAGCAACCTTTTAGAGTAGGTGTTTCAGTATGATTCATAAAATACGTAATTAGGTACAACAACTAGGTATAATTGATATTTTGTTGAGGTCAAAGTAAAAATTTTTTTTGGCAGGGGTTAAACTTAATCGTTTTAGTGAGGTAAAAGCAATAAGTTTTATTGGGGTCACAGTAATTTGTATAGCAATAAGTTGTATTGGCACGAGGTCACAGTAATTTGTTTAGCAATAAGTTTTATTGGGGTCACAGTAATTTGTTTAGCAATAAGTTTTGTTTGGGTCACAGTAATTTGTTTAGCAATAAGTTGTATTGGGGTCACAGTAACTTGTATAGCAATAAGTTGTATTGGGGTCAAAGTAATTTGTTTAGCAATAAGTTGTATTGGGGTCACAGTAATTAATTTTTTTGATGAGGTCAAAGTAAATTGGTTTGTTTTGCTCACAATTTGCTTTATTAGAGTTTCAGTATTTCAGACCTAACTGTCATTTTATTGTGTATAAAACAAATAAAACCATCTATATTTTGTAGTAGATACCAGCTTGGGTAGGAATGGAGAATGGATTAATGTAAAATTAATGTATATATGGTTGTGTGAATTAGTTTAACATTTCTGGTATGCATTGTAGTGTATGGGTATTGGTATTTATAGAAACTTTTATTTCAGAAAATGTTATCAAGGAGATACTACACAGATGTAACAACATTTTACATAAACATTATATGCGTCGTCATAAATAAGTCTGTGTGGTTTGATGTAGCATACTGAAAGAAGCATTTAAGCCAATCTCACCGAAAAATGTATTGCTTAGTTATATCAGATATCATTGATACTCGAGACCTACTATAATTATAATTGGTGGAAGTATGATTAAAATCCAACCAGTGAGACTGTTCATTTGATTAAGAGTAGTGATGACCTTGGGTCAAGGTTAATTGTTGTACACTTGACCTAGGTTAGTGATGACCTTGGGTCAAGGTTAATTGTTGTACACTTGACCTAGGTTAGTGATGACCTTGGGTCAAGGTTAATTGTTGTACACTTGACCTAGATTAGTAATGACCTTGATGGGTCTAGGTTAATTATTGTACACTTGACCTAGAGTAGTGATGACCTTGGGTCAAGGTTAATTATTGTACACTTGACCTAGATTATTGATGACCTTTGGTCTAGGTTAATTATTATACACTTGACCTAGAGTAATGATGACCTTGGGTCAAGGTTAATTATTGTACACTCGACCTAGATTATTGATGACCTTTGGTCTTGGTTAATTATTATACACTTGCCCTAGAGTAGTGATGACCTTGGCTCAAGGTTAATTATTGTACACTTGACCTAGATGAGTGATGACCTTGGGTCTAGGTTAATTATTATACACATGACATAGAGTAATGATGACCTTGGGGCAAGGTTAATTAGTGTACACTTGACCTAGAGTAGTGATGACCTTGGGTCTAGGTTAATTATTGTACACTTGACCTAGATTAGTGATGACCTTGGGTCTAGGTTAATTATTGTACCAACATTAAGTGTGCTAATGGTTAAGTACTCAGACAAAACTAACACTTCCTATCATACACATCAGAGGCAGGTGCTGATGAGGAAACAGAGGAACCAGAGGATGGGGAGGATCAAGAAGGTATTAGACTCCCGCTAGCCAATCACAGTTTTGCTATTTGAAACACCTCATTGTTATATATGCTAATGATGCTCCACTTATATTATGTAATAGCACCACAACCCTTAGTTTTGGAGTGTGATTTTATCCTTTTCTGCTTAAATAATATACCCTATTGGTATTTTATAGCAAAGCAGTTTATTCTTCCCTATCATTCACACTATCATAAATCTGTTTCAGCTATCTTTTTTCTTGCTCTTTCAATTTTTCTTTTGAAATCTGGTTATAATACATATTCTATAGTGGTATCATACGCTAGTCTTTTCAAAAGCGGGTCCTAATTTTGAGTAAATAATTTGGTTTTGTAACAAAAAAGAAGGCTCAATTTTTCAAATAGTCAGGTCCCGTGCATATTAATGTGACCACTGATTGACATAACAACTTCTCATCCACCTGAATTTCATACCATTCATTCAATCTATTAAAATTCAATTAGTTACATATTTTAGTAGTGCATGCCATTTGCTACTCCTAATTATTGGTCATTAACTAGAATTTGTAAAAAATAAATGTGTAATCCACCGACAAATCATTTTTTCACCCAATGAAATGTTTGGTACACGAAAGTGGTAGTTTGTGTAGCCACTTCTCATGATCAGTGATCCAAAATAAGTAAAACATTGAATTAATAATTATGCAAAACAAATCCATTTCAAGTACTAATTTCATAGGATATCATCAAATAAGTTGTGAGCCCATCTAATATAATTCACAGGGTTTTATCCAATTTCTTCAACACCACCGCCGTGTTAATAGTAAATGTATATAATTATAGTCAAACTAGTCAATACAACCTTATCTGGTTTATCTGGTCAAAATAAAACAAAAACAGTTTCATTTTCATTAAATGATATATTTAAGCCTCTACACATTATAACTTCATCATAAAATCCCCTTCTTTTAATTGCTGTCTCTTTATAGTGCCACCATTTTTCAGAGTCCCTGTTTGCTTAAAATCTTCATTCATTTGGTATAGATTGCTTAACCTGATTATCATATACATTAACTGTATGTAAACTTAGTATTTCTAGTGACCAGCTAATTTTCAGTGTTTTTTAGTGGTTATAAACATTTAAGTTATAATTGGTTTATAGTTGGGTGGTCGGGTGGTGCAGTGGATAGCACACTTGCCTTTCACCAAGGCGGCCGGGGTTTAAATCCCTGATCGGACATGAAAAGGTATGGGGTCACATGGTTTTTCTCCGGGTACTCTGGTTTTCTCCCACAAGAGTGATTAATATAAGTTGAAATATTAACTTGTTTCATAATTGTTGTAAAATAAATAAAGTTTATATTTTTTTTATTATTTTTTTTAAAGTTATAATTATTCGGTACAGTATTATTACAACCACCTGTAATGAAACCTGATTATCTTCTGTTCAATATAATAAAGATTATTTGAAAAAAATCACCAAAAATATACAAAAAATATAACTAATGAAAAATAGGGACTTTTTGAGTTTTATCTAAAGACTTTTATCTAAGCACATGTACATCACATTTTGTCTGTCTAGGTATTGAAGACTGTAGCTATACATGTATTTTACACATATCCATATATTTTCCCTAATTAACTTTTTGACTCATTTGATGTATATTACTGAACCCCTTATAATACCCACCTTCTGCTGGACAGAGTGTGGCTGCACCTAACATGTCATTGTTATTAATTGCCTATGTATGTGTATTAACTTGGACTTGTTTTCCATTTCTACCAAGACCTCTGTCTGGATCATTCTGTAAAGGTAGAGAGATGTTGTTTCTTACAGAATGCTGCTGTAAAGAATGATTGTTCACTGTTTACATTTACATATTGTGTAATGACACTTCCTCAATATCGTTACGATACATGTATGGTATTTACACCTTAACCCTTTCACCCCTAAGTAACTTTAGTAGACTCTCCCATGTATTGATATGGATGAGTCTAGTATGGTCTACAGTGGTGAAAGGGTTAAATTAATTCAGTGATAATTAATGCTTGGTTACAGTAAATGTGGAGAAATTAAGAAAGTGTTGAAATTTTCAATGAAAAATCTTTGAAAAAAATAATAACATTACCTGCAGGTCTGGACCAGTTATCCAGATGCATTAGTTATCATTAAAAGCATTGTTATGCCAGTTTCATATTGACAGACAGCCATTCATTGATTCGTCAAACCCTTTTCTATTATTTGATCATCTTCGTTCACCAAGCATGTCTAAATAAATACTGTTTATAATGCCATTAACCCTTTCACCCCTATGTAACTTTAGTAGACTCTACCATGCAATGATCTGGATGAGTCCATTATGGTCTACAGTGGTGAAGGGTTTTAACTATCAAGATAACTGGTTCCTGGTTTTCAGTTTGTTGTGAAGATTGAAATTCAAATTGGTAAAATTACATAAAAAAAACAATAATTATAGCTTGAAGTGATAGAAATTTCCCTACATTTACTGTAGACTATATATATTTGTACATGTTTATCATTTGTCCATCACACAGTCACTTGTGTATGGAATCGTCACTAATTTTGTTCATGCAGCTATAAATTGTGAAAAGGGAAGACATATCCCTGGTATGAAGTGTTTATAATTAAGTGTTTCTGTCACCTCAACACTTTGTTTTGTTGTGTTAATTAGTGTAAGTATGAATGTTCCTGTTCGCACTGCATCATCAATAATAATTAAATCATCATCATACAGTAACAATTTAATTAGAGATCGGGGTTGAGAAAAATGTTTCTATAAGATATTATTTATCTGCATGAATAATAAAACAGTCAGTCATTGTAACCTGTTATGAACAAATACTTTACTAGACACGGAGAAGGATGAGAGTAAGGATAGTGACGATGAGGATGAAAGTGTGGGTCGGAAAGGTAAGGGAGATAACTCCTGATATCTCGGTTCTGTAGTTATACCCATTTAACTTTAACTCCTCCTTATTAACAAAGATGTACACTGTATTAAAACGTAGATTTGAAAAAAACTGAATATGAAGAATTTGTTACAACCGTAATTAGTATTAACATTCTGGTATTAATAGGTTTCAAAAACACATAACTTTAATTCAGTCACCCCTGAAGACACATTTGAACTCTTCCAATTCAAGGGTTGGAATAGTTCATTATGAAATTTCAGGGGTGAATGAGTTAAATCCTTTTCTATGTATAAGGGATAGATAATTCACTTTTCAGCATTACAACAATAATCCAGTCTCATTATCTTGAAAAAAACAAATAACACATCCTATTTCCTCTTTAAATGTTAACCTGATTATTGTTCCTGGTAAAAAAGTGTTCTTTAATGTACCTTTGAATTACATTGCATGTTAGTTTCCCTCGGTGGATAATAATAATAATTATAAAAATAATAAACTTTATTTAACGAGGATGACATGTTTAGCCAAAGGCTAATCTACCACATGGTCCTCAAATTGTTTTATTGAGAAACATGAATTTATTTCCTTAACAGAACTAGTGAACCATCTGACTCACATTTCCATTCTTCCCTGTAGTGAATAAACTGAGTACCATTTAGATTAACTCTAAACTTAGTCCTTTTTAGTGATAGGCTAATTTTCAATATTTTCAGTGGTTATCAAACTTTAACTTAAGGCAAGGGTAGAGCCAACGCCGTGGTTTTCTTAATGGTGGAATAATTTGGTCCTTTGCTCCTCGTCTGGATAACCGAAAGTATGCAGGGGATTGAATAAAAATGTGTACATCAGAAGATAGATACAATCACAACAGGCGAAGGAGCAATAATTTGTTCTTGTAGTTTATTTGAAGTGTCGACCGGTTTAGCCCCTATAGTGGGCTTCTTCAGGACCAAGAAGAAACCGGTTTAGCCCCTACAGTGGGCTCTTCAGGACCAAGAAGAAACCTACTATAAGGGTGAAACCCGGTCAACACTTCTAATAAACTACAAAAACTACCCATTGCTCCTTTGCCTGTTGTGATTGAAATTTTTTTTGACAAACTTTAACTTATATTTATTCCTTATAATATAGTAATTTTAATCAAAGCTGATTAACGTCTGTTAAATATGTGAAATTTAAGTATCTATTTGAAAAATGTCACCAGAAATATACAAAAAATCAGTATTTAAAAAAATAGCGATTTTTTTAATTTTATTTATATAGAATTTCTTGAAGTTTTTTTAAGACTTGTATCTTAAGACATATATATGCGTCAGTTTAGTAGTACATTTTTACTCCCAAGGTATTGTAGACTAGCTATACTAACACATGTCCAAATATTTTAAATATTCTACAAGTAGATGATATCATCAGTATTTAAAAATAATGTTGGTTTATTTCAAATGATCATTTGTAGAAAAAAGTAGAAGGTTACACATAGAGCTGTTAATAGTTTTAGTGAAATATTGATCTACTTATATTTGTAATTATTCGTATCTATTAATAATGTATTAATAATGTATTCATGTACTTTTTCTTGTTTTCAGTAAAGGCTAATTAATATGAACACTGAATATGAATATTGATATGTCTGAAATGTTCTTATTAATATTTTTTCCAGGGTTATTTTTGTACATACCAGCATTTGGAAACTGATTCCTGTAAGCTTAAGTGAAGGAAAAAAGACTTGTTTCTTACCACACGTAGTTAATAATTTTCACTGTCTTTTTTATTCATATGATCAGAGAAAATGTGGAAAATATTTTATCTTGAATTGAGTTTGTTTGTTTGTTAGGTTGTCAGTTTCTGATGACAGATTTTAAAAGTTGCATAACTGCAATGGTTTATTTTTTGGTAACAATATAAAACAGTACTGTTTCTGATTGACTGTGTTTTGACCCATTTCAGAATCTCCCACAGAAGGGGAAATTACAAAAACAGAAGGTGAGGATGAATCTGGAGAGAAAGAAGGAGAAGAGGCAAAGGAAGGAGACAGTTCAGCAGAGCAGGAAGGAGAGAAGAAAGAAGAGGGTAAGTAGATAATTGCCAATCCCAAGATGTTCATGTGTCTTAATACTTGTCTTCAAACATGTTATAAATAGTTGAGAGAATTTTTGAAAAACTTTGAATGAAAGAAGAAAATTACAAAGCAAAACTCTATTATATCAGTCTTCACTTATCAGGAAAAATATTGCTCAGACCACAAGGCCTGAATTAACAAAATTCTCCTGTATTCCATGAAAAACCTGCAGTAACTGGATGCTTCAAAGATTTCATTACAGCTCGAGAGCTGTCAGATTTCTAGATAAGGTTAATCAGCTTTCACTCCTCAATGCTTGTGTTCCTTCATAAGTAAAGAAGGCCTATACAAGTTCTATGTCTTTGATATCCAGGTGGTGAGGGTGAGCCCAAGGAGGGTGAGGAGACGACCGGAGAGACCTCGACAGATATCCCCATCACAGAGGGGGACACAACTGAACCTACCCCACCCCCACAAACGGCCCCACCCCCCGTCATGCCTGAGGTGGATGCCACTCACCCTGATGTCATTGCCCTGGTGGAGGCTGCAGTGAAGGACCTGGAGAAACAGCCTGTAGTCCTACCACCGGAGGTGTACATCGAGGTGATGGAGAGTGCCATCAAAGCCTCGGAGCAGAACATGAGGGAGATGAAGCCTGTGGGACCTACGTAAGTGGGCTGTTTATCAACAGTGGGATTTATTCACGCAGTAAAATTAGATTGATAGACTTGTAACTTTTTCCAGTTGTGTAACGCTATTGCATGCTCAACATTTTAGCATATGTGACAGCTTTCATTTATAGCTGTGTATTTTATGGACTCTGTTTATATTGATTATTCAAATCGATTGTTAATATTTATCTTTCAATTTAAAATCTTACAAGTAAAATTATTGTATAGTGTAAACATGTCCAGTAGCCACAGACCTTGCTTGCATTACCACAGACAAGAAAAACTATTAGCATTACCCAAACTTTTGTTATTCTGAAAAATCTTTTGTTTTCCTAACAGTAATGGCGGATACATCCTAGACAACTTCCCTCAGAATCGCGACCAGTGGACAATCTGTATTGAGAAGAACCTCATGCCCGATGACATTATTGTGATGAAGGATTCGGATGGAGGTGACTTCCTCCTGAGGCGATATTACACCCTCAACAAGGAGGATATTGACCAAAAGATTAAAAACAGGAAGTTTGAGGATGAGCGCAAAAAGAGGGAGGCTGAGGAGGAAAGGAAGTAGGTCATAATAAAATATTCCATAACAGCAAAACATCTATTAAAATATCAGATTAAAGTGTAAATAAGTTTTCAATTATTTGTATGGACTGTTGCTAAAACATTTCATCTCCTGCAGGAAAAAACTTGAGGAGGAGAAGCGAGCAAAAGAGGAGGCAGAGAGGAAAGCTGCTGAAGAGGAGAGGCTGAGGAAGTTAGAGGCTGGGGAAGGGGAAGAAGGAGCCCCAGGAGGAGAGGGAGCTGAAGGGGAGGCTGCAGGAGAGAGTGGCGAGGGTACAGATGGTAAGTAACACACTATCATTGGCTGTCCACTATATGCATGCTCTATTTTCATTGGTCACTGTTGTTATGCCTTATGGATATTGGAATGAATGTATTGCATGCATCTGTGTCTGTGAATAGTAGTTAGATATCTATGTATAGCTTGGGAGATACAGCTGAAGTAAGACAAACTTTCATACCAACACTATTTCAAAATACCCTGGTATATGTTCCCCTAAAGCCTTTGAGTCTCATAAATTTTGCTGTCTTAAAACAATTTTAAATTCATGCAGAAACAATTTTGTCGTCACAAATAGCACAGAATTCAATGAGATGAAAGACTTACTTTTCTTAAAAACAACAGGTTCCCTCCCCAGTGTTTTATTTGAGGATGCACATATCTGGCAGATTTATTGAGTGTTATGGTTATAGTCTGAATTGTTAGTATTTATATATACCAATTCCGTCTTTTCATATTGCAGAGTTATCTGCTCTTGTGAGCAGGTATTGATTGTTACGTCATTTCTTTGTGAGAGTAGCGTCATCAATTTTTTGAGAAAACAACGTAATTTTCTCACACAAACCAACGACGTAACAATCAATACCTGCTCACAAGAGAAGATAACTCTGCAATTCACAAAGACAGAAAATACTAGAAACAGGTGAATGCACATCAATGTCGTTATCAATTTGTGGTGTCACTTCACGTCACGTCACTGCTTTCTTCATCACTATCTGTCATTGGTGCATGCATGTTTCACACTTCACCAGGACCACCCGCTGAAGGAGGCACTGCCCCTGACGAACAGGCAGAAGGTGCAGAAACCACTGAGGAAGCAGCGGAGGAAGGTGAGAAAGAAGAAAACGGAGACACAGACACAAAAGGTATCATTGCCTTTTATCACTTGGGCAGAGTGTGTGCTGATATCACCGCAAGGGTTTTTGCTGCATCTGCATATCATATCAAATCATAAAAAAAAGTGTTTTCTACATCATGAATGTACAATTCACATACACCATGAACTATGTAGAAGTGTGCTGCAGGTTTTATACCTTCTTAATTACCGAGCCTTATTTGTCTCTTAGTATGTCCATTCTTTACTGATGATTACCCAGCCAATACCTATGCACAGTACAATGACTCTTAGTCACACAAAATCATGCAAACTTATGATTTCTTTGTATTTAAACCTTAAACTAAAAGCTCAGCCACATGTTTTCTTGACCTCAGCATACAGGCCTTTAATATTTTGATAATTGTGTAGACTAGATTCACTTATAAAAAAAAAAAAAAATAGAAAATATTTAGATTTGTTTTTTGTTTTTTCAATTTTGTAATAGGCAAGAGAAAAAAGTACATAGATTCCTCTGAAGGTTTGTTATGACAGTTAAATTGGTTTATATTGTTATAAATATATTCTGTTTGGCTGGGAAATATATGTACAGTTATAACACTGTTATATTGAGTTATCAATGGGAAACATCTATATTGCATGCCTTTTGTTTGCTTATATATATATATATATATATATATAGTTATTTGTTATGTTCGTGCCGTACTGTTGTGTCGCTGTGTAGTGCATGCTTCCTACATTACAACGTTCATACCTCCAGTACTCCTACTTAACATGTTGTTGTATCAGTCTGAAAACCTGTTGACAGTCTTTCTTCGATTGTGACATGATGAAATAACAAAAAGTCAGGAATACATACCTGGTATATCAGTTGACTTGATTAAAGTTGCTTTGAGATAAAGTTTTCTGAACAATTCGCTAAATTGGCTCAATGTGACATCAATTAGATTGTCAAGGTGATGCCTGTTTTTAAAGCATTTCCCAAAAAAGTATTGTACATGTGTACAATATTCTAATTATTTATATTCTAACAAAGTTATGTTTTGTTATATATTTGATGCTGTTCTGTACAGGTTTATATTCAATTTTTGCTCAACTATGTATATTGAAAATACTAACTGGAAAAATTTGGGAATTGGAATAAGGAATCTATTTTTTTTTTATCAAAGTTCACTTAATTATAAGTTGCCCTTGTTTACAGATTAAAACATAATGACATGTGCTTTTATAAAAAACATTTAAACATCGAAAATCTTTGCTTTCAAAATGATTTATTCAACACTGATATTTTTTTTTTAAATGAAAAACAATCAAATCCCTCTGTTGTTCATTTGCTTGCAGTTTATTCAGAGATATACCATCAAAGTCAAAAACCTGTATTGCATTTACCAAGTAATGCATATACATTGTAATACAAATAAAACCATAAAATATTGAGTTTAGGAAAGTTGTTAATGAGTAATTTTGATAAAAAAATAAATGTTTTTGTTTATTTTTTACAGACGAAGAAGACGAGAAAGCAGAAACTGAAACAAAGGCTGAATCAGGTAAATCTAAAAGTTGATTTTTTTTTCGGCTGTGACAAATAACACTTTTTATTCTTTTCAAACTGAACTGATCAATCAGAGAGCAGGATTTAGAGTGAAAACTAACAACCTATGGGGATTGTTGTTACATTTAGCGTTTAGAATATTTGTTAGTTTTTATGATTTTTTTTAACGCCCAGTTGTGTAATAAAACTGGTATTCATAAAAATAATTGAGAATATCCTCTATTTATCAATATCTAAAGAAAATGCAAATGCTGTTACTGGATGGTTCTGTTGAGTGAAGTAAAGCATTTTGTCTGGGCCATAATGTTAAACCTAAGTTTAGAAATTTGGATGAATCTCAACAAGCATCTGCATTATTTCTCCCAAAAGATAAGCACAGTAATACCATAAATAGGTCAGTATGACCTTTAACATCAAATCATAGGGGAACGTTCAGTGAAATCGTCTTCTAGGGACATACGTTTTAACATGTTAAAAATGTTTTAAAAAGTTCTTGTAGTAAATCTCCTTCTACACTAACACTACAAAACTGTTAATTTTAAAGTGTTCAGAACCAGAATACTGACTCATGCTTAAAAGAAAACTTGTTTTCTGATTTTGTTGCTGTTGAAATTTCAATTTTAAATGTCTTCATGCAGTGCTATTGGAAAATTAATGTAATTGATGTTGCTTGTGTTGCAGAAGAACCCAGCAATGTTAAAGAGACCGGAGTAAGAATTGAAGGGGATGATGAGGTGAGTGTTAGATATTATGTTTTTAAGACTCATATAGTATATGTTACTTAAAGAATGACTCATCAATTTAGTAAGTGAGGCAAAGTATTGTAATAATCATTATGGAAAAACAGAAATTCACCTTCTATTAATTTATCTTCCGCATGAAAGCCATTTTGGTCTCTGTGGAGTATAACATATAGTTCTTATGTGTACCTTGGTATGTGGAAATTCACCGATTGTAGATACAATTAGTTGCCGATTTTGATCTCTTTTACCCAGTAATGCAAATTGTTTCATTAGAGTAAGGGTTAATGTGTTTCTCTAATTAGTAATATTTTTATTCCATTATATAAATTTAATTAAGTTATACCGTAATTGTACAGATTCTTGAAGTAATTTGTCCTGTAATGTTTGAAGCGTGTACCAGAGGGACCAGAGATGGAGGACTATAAGGAGAAGAGGAAGGACTTTGATAGAGAGTTCCCTAATGTACTTAACACCATTTCTGGCTCGAGCAGTATAGACCCCATCTCCCTGGACCTGGAGAGTAGACCTGTCGAGGAATTGCTGTCCGAAACAGTGTCCAGTATGGAAAGTAAGTCATACGATCAAATCCTGTTGATAAAAGTCTTCTTTTGTGCAAGGTGATACCTTGTATTTAAATCTTTCTAAGACTGTTACTATTACTATAACTAAAATATTTGATGTCATCTACCAGAAGTCGCACAAAACAGTTAGCATTGCTGATCGCTTCCAACTCCAAGGGTAGAAGTATCATCTACAATGCTTTGTTTTGAGTAAATATATTGCAAAAACAGTTGCAGTCATGGTTATAAGAACTTGTGTGTGTCTCTGTTACAGAGATTTACCAGTACCACGGCTGGGAATACTCCGGTATGGATGTGGATGAGGAGGAGGAAGACCTGGAGAATGAGGCTGCACTGCAGGCTGCTGCAGAGGAGGAAGAAGAAGAGGCAGCTGAGGAGGTAAGGGCACACAACTCTGGATTTATATTACAGTAAATCTTTGGCCATTGATGACAAATTCTTCTGATATTTATATGAGAATGGGCTTCAGAAGAATGAATTGTTAACAAATAAAATCTTATTCTATCAGAAATAATATGTAGTTATATTTGCAAAACCTAAGTTTAGATTTATCAAACCATATATAGTTTCATTTGAATATTCATTTTGTAATTTAGGAGGAGGACCCAAACAGGAACAAGAAGAAACCGCTTGGAGACACAAACCAGTTCTGTCCTGTAGCCCTCAAGGAAAACAATGTCTTGTTTCCGGGTAATCCAGAGGTTGCAGTCAAGTACCGAGAGAAAGTTTATTATCTGTCCAGTGCAGAGGCCCGTGAGCGGTTCCTGGCCAACCCAGAGGAATATCTCCCCCATGGCAAACCTTTTGATGTAAGTCACATATAACTTGGGACTGTTTGACATATTTTAGAGTGACGTTGGAAACATGTTTATGGAATAAGAAAAAAAAGAAAGAAAAGTGCATTGGAGATATAAGACTTCAAAGAAATACTGCAAGTGATCAACAAACAACCAGACAATAAAAATATGTGTTATTTTATTATCCTTCATATCGAAACTATCTCTTTAAACAGTCTCCGCCCATCAGAATGCTGTTTTTGGGACCTAGGGGAGCCGGTAAGTCCCTCAATGGCCGATACCTCGCGGAAAAACTTGGTCTGTTCCACATTTCCTTCAAGGACCGTCTTCAGGAACTCATCATTCACAAAACCAAGAAACGTGTTGGCCCCGAATACGCTGAGGAGAATGAGGAAGAGCCGCCAGATGAGGAGGAGTAAGTTTGGATAGAAAACATGCGCATTTTGAGTGTGTTTTAATTTATGTAGAAAATGGCAGTTATGAAACATATTCATGAGATCAGGTTGTAATAGAGTTATAAATTCGGGATATACACAAAGAGATTATAAAGATGACATTCCTGGATGTTTCAGAGAGGATGAAGAAGAAGCAGGTATCACTGACCCAGATGGCGTGCCCGTCAAGAAAGAGGAGGAGGAGAAGAAAGAGGAAGAGGAGAAACCTGTGAGTGTTCATCAAGATCATTTCAGGCTTACTCTCATTTGTTGAAAAAATAAAAATAACTGACTTGTCTTACAGAAGTCAGAACTGTTACAATTAATTAAAATAGTGTAATTACTGATCATACCTAGGAACTGATTCATTGCAAACTACAGAAAGTATCCCGACAGATGATTAATTACTTGTTTATGTAACCAGGAGGAGGAGGAGGTAGAGTTCACCGAGGAGGAGGAGGCCATCAAGGCTAACCTCGAGTCTGAGGAAGCTCTGCCAGCAGAAGTCCTGGACAATATTGTTCCTCACTGGTGGCACAAGGAACCCTTCAAGTGAGTTGTCTACAGAGTTGTACTGGATTTCCGTTGCTACAGGCTTTGTTTCATTTATTAGTCCCCCACCAGGGACCGGGGGGGACTATAGTTTTGCATCTTGTCCGTCCGTCCTTCTTCTATCTTGTCCGGGCTCTATCTCCTACACTACTAGTCACTGGAACTTCATATTTGGTGTCACTCTGACCTACATTTTGACCTTTGACCTGCATCAAAGAAAAAGTTTGTCTGGGCTCTATCTCCTACACTACTAGTCACTGGAACTAAATAATTTGTAATATAAATCCAGATTTATTTGCATTCATATATAGAATTAGTTCCTGCACAAATTTATCCTCTGTGCATTTCACATTAAGTGGGGGACTATAATTCGCTGAGTTGTCTTGTTTCTTAACATTTTCTTCTGGTTGGTAAGTATGGATTATGAGAAGTTCTTTTTACACAACCAATAAAAATGTCCATGTGACGTTTCGATGATTAGTACGATATGTACACTGTCACCTTCATCAGACAAATGACCAGTGAAGCGTATACACACAAAGGTGTATAATGTGTACGAGTTGTCGACAAAATCGATGTCGATGTTTGTTTCATTTGTTTTTTATATGGTTGGTTTTGAACTGATTAAGTAACAAAGTCAAACAACAGAAATCGTTTAGCTGTTATAGTGAGAGTTATTGCAAAATTCTGAAAAAGTGACAAACTTTAACTATGACAATGTTTCAAATAACTCATTCACCCTTACATATTCAAACTGGACTTGGCTAATCTTTGATTTGGTAGGTTCAAGTGTGACTTCAGGGGTGAATGGGTTAATAGAAATAACAATTTTTAAACAAGTGAAAAGTTTATAAGACGATAGTGCCTCTATTCTCCAGGTCGACAGGATTTGTCCTGGAGGGTTTCCCACGTACAGCAGAGGAGGCTAAATACCTAGCAGAGATGGGCCTGTTCCCCGACGCAGCTGTTGTCATCACAGTGGAGGATAGCGATGTCATCGGTAGGCTACTCCCGCCAAAGCTAGAGCGCTGGTGTGTAAAACGAGACAAACGTAACGCCAAGCGGGAGAAAAAGAAGGAGAAGGCCAAGAAAAAGAAGGTGATTGACTTATTAATATATTAAATAAGAGTACATGGGATGGGTAAGAATATAGAATGAGGATAATATCAAACAAAGATATTGAGCCAATATCCATACGTCTGTCTGTCCATCAATCAACTCTTTGGATTCCGCAGGATGACTTGCTTATTGTGTAATTTTGATAAAATGTGATAAAAGGGAAGTAATTCCTAATAATAATAAACCAAATAAATATACAACATTTGCATAGCGCCCTGTATCATTTATCGTTATATGCATATATGGATATATAGATATATAGCGTGTACATAACATCTGCACAAAAGAGACTAAACACAGACATAAAAAGGTGGGTCTTTATATCCTTCTTGAATTTAGTTAGAGTCTAAGTAATTCCTATGAAAATAAACATTTTTATTAAAGGTAAAGTTTATTTATAAAATACAAATATATCCCTTTAACTTAAGTGAGTAAAGTACAAAAGGTTTTCTCCTCACACCACATTCCAGAAATAATTCAACTGTACATAGTAAAACAGTACAAATGAAGTTTATTTATGTTACATTTCAGTGTTTACATACATGTCAATGCAAGAATGCATCAGAATGATTTCCAGTATGTCAGTTTGGCATAGGCTGGAACAGACGTATACTGTAGAATCATTTATTTTCGTGGGGTTAAAATTTTGTGGTTTTCATATACTATCCAGCTGTTTCAAGGACATTATTTTTCGATGATTTCTGATTTTCCCCTATCGTACCTATCATCCCAAATTTATGTTTTCGTGGGGATTTAATTTCGTGGATTTTTGTTATCCACGAAATAAACGAAATTAAATGTCCCACGAAAATTTGTGATTTTACAGTATTGTTCCACCCTTGTGGTACTTTTGTTTATAATGTTGTAATAATTTGTTATTCCAATCTGTAGGATGCTGCTGTCCAGAAACGAAGGGAAGAATTATTGAAGGAACAAGAGGAAAAGAGGAAAGAAAGACAAGCTCAGAGAGCAGCAGAAAGAGAGGATCGTGATGAGGAAGAAGAGGAAGAGGAGGAGGAAGAAGAAGAAGAGGAGGAGGAGATGGATATTGAGGCCTTGTTGGCTGAGGAGTTTGAGGTAAGTCTATTAATGTTTATGTATCTATGAAAGATGAAGATTGTTATAAAATGTGATACTGAAGATAAGTGGTGTTTAAATAGACATTATTGCAATGATTAAGCCCTTCTTTAAGCTGAGTTACAGTGTTAATGTTGAAGCACATTGCATTTGCATTGCATACACGTTTTCATCATAATTATTTAAATGATATGCTTAGGAGGAAGAAGAAGAGGAGGAGGAAGAGGAAGAATTGGAAGAAGATGCTAAGGACAGAATCAGGAATGAACTGAATGAAGTTTTTGACAATGACACCAACAGGCTAGCAGGTGTACAGGTAGGCTCACAACATACATGATCCAGAATATTGTGTACAGGTAGGCTCTCACCATACATGATCCAGAATGTAGTGTACAGGTAGACTCTCACCATACATGATCCAGAATGTAGTGTACAGGTAGACTCTCACCATACATGATCCAGAATATAGTGTACAGGTAGACTCACACCATACATGATCCAGAATATAGTGTACAGGTAGACTCTCACCATACATGATCCAGAATGTAGTGTACAGGTAGACTCTCGCCATACATGATTCAGAATGTAGTGTACAGGTAGACTCACACCATACATGATCCAGAATGTAGTGTACAGATAGGCTCTCACCATACATGATCCAGAATATAGTGTACAGGTAGACTCTAACCATACATGATCCAGAATGTAGTGTACCGGTAGGCTCACACCATACATGCTCCAGAATATAGTGTACAGGTAGGCTCACACCATACATGATCCAGAATGTAGTGTACCGGTAGGCTCACACCATACATGCTCCAGAATATAGTGTACAGGTAGGCTCACACCATACATGATCCAGAATGTAGTGTACAGATAGGCTCTCACCATACATGATTCAGAATGTAGTGTACAGGTAATATAGGCTCACATCATACATGATCCAGAATGTAGTGTACAGGTAGACTCTCACCATACATGATCCAGAATGTAGCGTACAGGTAGACTCTAACCATACATGGTCCAGAATGTAGTGTACAGGTAGGCTCTAACCATACATGATCCAGAATGTAGCGTACAGGTAGACTCTAACCATACATGATCCAGAATATAGTGTACCGGTAGGCTCACACTATACATGATCCAGAATATAGTGTACCGGTAGGCTCACACTATACATGATCCAGAATATAGTGTACAGGTAGGCTCACACCATACATGATCCAGAATATAGTGTACCGGTAGACTCACACTATACATGATCCAGAATATAGTGTACCGGTAGACTCTAACCATACATGATCCAGAATATAGTGTTATGGTCCTTCATTCATTTTTATATCAAATTTTTCTTGCACTTCTTTGCCTTGTTTGTTCATGATTTCCTGATTTAAAAAAGCTTATGATTTTAAATTTGTTCTTTATTGGGGCTTTTCACTTTTTGTAAAAAGACCTATTGTTTTTCTTCTGCCACGTCTTTGTATGCAGCTAATCTTTTGATTGGTAGAAGTTAAAGCATATTGAAGGTAAAGGTCTAAAGGTGTCATTGAAACATTTTCAAGTAGGTCGCCATGACGTCATACCTCAAAATCTTAAAATGGCCACAACTCACAAACCCTTGGTTCACGCACTCTCAATCTTAAAAGTATGGATAGTTTACATTTCTACTGCGGTGGAGGGTCATCAGCCATTCTTTTACATGGCAAACCCAACCGATATAGACAAAAGGCCAGTTTTTATTCATCACCTTGATGAACATAATATGAAGGACTATATGATTTCTACGGACTACCATCGTATACAACGCAGCCCATTGGCTTCCTATATTTATCCATTCTTTCTCTGATGTCATTTCGCACTCTGGGAATCCCCCACTACTCAGTCAGCTACTGTAGACTTGCGCAAGTTCATGCCTGATACATTGTATTTGGTATAACTGAATTACTAATTTTCATTGACTACAATCACTGCACATTTTCTTACTCAAAGTCGCAGCTGTGCTCTAAGAAAATTTTCAGAAATATCTATTAATTGTTAGAAGCAACAGACCTCGATCAAACCCAAATCAGTCCTAATGGTGAAAAGCCCATCAAATTGTTAGCCTACAATTTCTAGTTTTGATAAGAAATTTAACAAACACAACACATTCATTTTAGTGTAAGGTATTTGATTACGACCTTAAAGTGACCTACAACATTTTTTAATATTTATGAAATTATTACTTTGCTGTAGGAAGCACTAGAGGAAATCTTGGTCCCCCGACTAGACTTGGACGGAGGACGTAAGCCACACATTGTTCGTTATTTGATGACGAAGAAGTTAAAACCATACGTGCAGTTTAGACACAGCATGTTCGAACGAGTGTATCCCATTGGGGAGAAACTGGCCAAGAAGATGTTACAGAGTGGATACAAACAGCCTAGCAGATTTGGACGATGGTGTCCAGTGAAGGTAGGCTTCAGTGTTACCTCATGCAATCAAGTAATGAAACATTTTACCCTACTCTCCAACTTTAATCCCCCTTTTTAAATTAAACCTTTACAAGATCATAAATTCAGTATACCATATGGTTTGTATTTTAGCTACATTTACTTTTTGGTGTTTCACCATTTGTGGACATTTAAAAAATCATTTTTAAGAGTTGGCCGTGGTTGCCAAGTATCAAAGGTGTCTGACATGCTGCTACCACTAGCCTTCCACCACTGGGTCGCGGGTTCGAGACCTACGTGGGGCAGTCGCCAGGTACTGGCTGTAGGTCGGTGGGTTTTCTCTGGAAACTCCGGCTTTCTTCCACCACCAAAACCTGACACGTCCTTAATTAAATGACCATGGCCCACTTGTATAAAACATCTCAACTCTTGAGATTTCTTCAAGTCTAAGATTTCCCATAGACAATACATTGCTTGAGATTTTCTTTAACTTTAAGATGTTTTATACAAGTTAGCCCTTAGCTGTTAATAATAGGACATAAAATACAAACAAACCAAACCAAATTTTTAGTGTTTTTTCTCTGAACCAACAAAGTTCCCAGGGTAATTTGACTTTTTGATATTACAGTCTATGTATGAATTACACCGTGTTTTCCCTTGACAACAGATGAAGGAAGGAGATTGTATCCAGCCTATGAGTGGACCTGGGTACCCCACCTATCCCTGTCTGTATCGTAACCACATCTTTTTCCTATCCTCCCTGTCTGCCCGCGAGGATTTCATTCAGGATCCCATGACCTATCTCAACCAGCCCACGCCCAAACCTGTCGTACCAATCAAAATGGCAATCATTGGACCACCAAAGTCTGGCAAAACTACATGTAAGTGGATATAAAAGATTACAATTTGTTTTAATACAAAATAATCTGATGGCCAATATTTGTTACGTACCAAAATTATAATGCTGACTGAACTTTGCAGATATTATTACTTAATCATAAGAAAAATAAACATTTCTTCAAGAAAATAAACATTTTCCAAAAGAATCTTTAAAGTTATAAGTTCTGATAATTATCTTGCCTATACCTCTTCCCCCTTTTGATATCAGTATTTACTTTTGACCCCACTTTACAGTGGCCACACGATTTGCTGAATCGTACGGCCTGGTGAGGTTGTCTATCGGAGAGGCAATGAGGAAAGTGCTAACAGAGCAGCCGAAGACAGACCTGGCCAGACAAATGATCATGTACCTGCTGAAGGGCTACACTGTGCCAGAGGAGCTGGCTGTCCAGGCCCTGGATGTCTGTCTCCTTGACATGAAATGCCAAACAAGAGGGTAATTAACAGTTCTAGTCCAGACCATCTAACAAATGTCTTGAAATATCACTTCTCTTGACAGTAGTAAAATGTTCTTAATTAGTATATATATAGGGATTTAAATTACTTGGAATTACTAGGCATTAGACCGTGGTAACATATGTCTTGAAAGATCACTTCTCCTGACAGTAGTAAAATTTCTTAATTAAGGATTCAAATTACTTGGAATTACTAGGCTTTAATAGACCGTGGTAACATATGTCTTGAAAGATCACTTCTCCTGACAGTAGAAAATGTTCTTAATTAAGAATTCAAATTACTTGGAATTACCAGGCATTAGACTGTTGTAACATATGTCTTGAAAGATCACTTCTCCTGACAGTAGTAAAATTTCTTAAAATAAGGATTCAAATTACTTGGAATTACTAGGCATTAGACCGTGGTAACATATGTCTTGAAAGATCACTTCTCCTGACAGTAGAAAATGTTTTTAATTAAGGACTCAAATTACTTGGAATTACTAGGCATTAGACCTTAATGGTAAACTAGTTGTTCAAAACATAAGGCCTCTGACAATCCTTGATAGATGTTTGACATGTTTTAATGGTGTATGATAGGTACATCCTAGATGGGTTCCCCCAGACCAAGAAGCAGGTTGACCTGATGACAGAGCGCAGCATCATCCCTGTGCGTGTAGTCGAGCTGGAGTTGGACAGCAAGGAGGTTTTGGTGCGTGGCATGAAAGACCGAATGGCACCAAGCAGGTAGGGCAGTCAACACTGACTCTAGATTATTACCCTCAAGATTATCATTGAAAGGATTTCTGTTTGTATTACTTATTCCATTCGAGTTTTGCTATGAATTCTCCAATACCATGACAATATAGTGTGCTGAAATTAAGCTATGTACAATCAAAAATTCTGAAGAAAAAAATTAATGTTAAAAAAAAGTATAAACGATACTTGATATTGATGATCTGGTTTAATTTATGCAATGTATTTTTTTATAAAAACATTTTAACATTAAAAACAGTTTTTCATAATTTTGCATTCTGTGGACCAGCTTCTTAACTGTGAATTACCACAGTACCTCTAAATTATCAATCACAAACTATTTCTGTATTATATTTTATATATGTTAGTTGATTTTGTCACAGTCAGTGATACTGATACACTTGTTTTTTGAGAAATTTAACATCCTGATTTACATGCAATTTTCAGAACAATACCACTGCACGACAGTTCTCAGATCCTAGCAGTAAAGATGGCTGCCTACAACAAGGAGATTACTGCAGTGCGGGAATGGTACAAGTCGGAGCACATGAACTACATCCAAATTCCGGGGAAGAACTCAAAATGGTGGATGTGGAACAAGGGCTCAGAAATTGCCAGTAACTCTGTCACACAGATACAAACCTACCTGCAAAAGGTGTCAGACGGTGAGGGGAGATTTGAAAATCAGTACATTATAGTACTCCATATTATAGCCCTGATAAAAGTGAAATTCAAATAGTTTATATTTATCAATGTACATTCTATTATTGAATTGTAAATCTGTTTCTTAAAGTCTTAAAGAAATATGGTTATGTATTAAAAAAGTATTTTAATTCAGAAAGTGACTTTAATTTTCCACTCTCCAGGTAAATCTGCATCCATCTGCGACATGTGTATTACGCCCAACGAGTTCCTACAGAGGATGGGTGACTTTGGACAGTACTGTCCTGTCAGTCTCGCCCTCCGAGGGGAACTTATCGATTGTTCCACTATGCCCACACTGGAATTCGCTGCCGAGTTTAGAGGTAGATTAAAATTCCTTTTCAAAAATGCATTTCATTCAAAAATCCTTTGAAAGGTGATAGCTGTATGTTTGTGTATGAATATCTTATATGCTTCATAGGTTTTTCACATTAATTGAATTCAAATTTATGTTAATGACATCATGTCCACCTAAAAACAATTGAAGAGATAAAAATTATTGTTTTGATAGATGTGAATTCTTTAAAACAAACTTCTGTTTAAAGAGTTAGAGACTGTAACTGTCTTTTGTCTGTCAGGCCATTATTACAAGATGGCTGGTGCTGAGGAGCTTAAACAGTTCCTGAATGAACCAGAGAAGTTTGTCCCACCTCTGGCACCCAGAAAACTCCCAGCCAAGGACCTGCTCCCAATCCGGCGATTCCCTGACGATGTGCGGGCCTCACAGGAGATAGAGGTCAAAGGGTACTGTCCAGTTACCTTCTTAGATGGCAAGTGCAGGTAAGTAAAGCTGAACACTGAGGAATTGATCAGAAAGTACAAATTTCGAAATTCAACTAAGAACTAACATTATTTCTATGTAAAGCATTACAGTACAACCATTTTCTAGTCTTTAACCCTTATGTAACTTTAGTAGACTCTACCATGCATTGATCTGGATGAGTCCATTATGGTCTACGGTGGTGAAAGGGTTAAATACAAGGAAAGCTAGTGAATGCCTAACTTGATTATCTATTGCAAGTCTGAATCACCTGATTCATCACTTATGTGAGGTAAATTTAAGGTCATGTTGGTGTTATACCGTTATCTTGTGCTATAAATTTCAAGTATCATGTTTATTGTATAAATGTTTTCTATTTCTAGATACGAAGCAATAATTCCCGGCAATCCTGACCTCATTGTGGAATACAGAGAAAAATTCTACTATATGGAAAACGAAGAAAAACTCCTTAAATTTATGAAGTAAGTTAAAAAAAATTGTACACGGTATATAGACAAGTATCAATCAAGGAAAACTATTCTCCGATAGCTAGCACCTAGTATATTGCTTCTTTTTTATGTCTAGACGCCATTATAATTTTTATTGAGCATACTATAAAACAAGATCATCGTGAATATGTAAAGTTTGACCTAGAAACTTGAATTTCAGTGTATGAGAATTAAGATCTGTTTAAACACTGTATGTGTAGAGGCCTTGTACAAACCAAGATTACATGTTATACAATCAGTTCAACTTATGTGTCTCCAGATTACCAGAGAGATACTGGGATCTTAAACTGCCACACAAACTTCCACCCGCCAAGGAATCGTTGACAGTCACCAGTCTACCCATGCTTGGCTTCATGGAACAGACGGTTGCATCCTCACTGATCAAGGCAATGACGACCGTTGGAAACTTCAAACCCAAATACCCCTTCTTGAGCCCCAGCAGGTCTTCACTGATCTATGTGGCATATCACCTTAAAGGTAACATTATTATATTGTTCAGAACACAGGGGTTTGTAGAAATTTGAGATGACAATTGAAAAGAGAGAAAAACACTATCTACATGATGATATCGGAAGTGATTTAGTTTTATCCTACGTACTACAGTTCTCTGGTTTACTGACATTTCATTTTTTTCACAAAAAACATATTCAATGTCACACAAATTAATTTAGAGAAGGTTCATATTGTGGTTATCAACAGAAAAATTGACCATAATTATCCGATGCTAATAATTCTATATTAATATGCCTACTGGTACAATTTTGAATTGATTTCAATTTCTTTCAGCAAGATAATAACTGCTCTGTTGTGTTATGCAATACTATTCAATTATAGCCTTTGGCTGAGGTCGATACCTGGATTTCAAAGGCTACAATTGTTATATTATTTTCAAGAGTAATGTTAGCAATCTGAAAAAAAATCACAGCAAAAATCTACGGAAGCGGGATGATGCGTTCGTTTAAAGACACATCATAATTCTAATTTTAGAAACACCCAGTCCTTCAACAAAAATCACGCGCTCCAAGTCAATATCAGTTTTTATCGGTGAACACGTGATGCACTCCTGTCCAATCTCTTGTCGGGAATAATATGAAAAAAATAATAATAGTTTGTTATTTTCTTTTGCAGCTTTCAACCCCAAAAGTTCAGATTACATAAGGAAAAAGTACAAACAGAAACTAAAGCAGTTTGAAGACACGTGTAGGCTGATCAAGTATTTGGGAGACAATATGACAGTTAGGTATAGGGACCCCACAGAACGGCCTGGAGATTTCGATATGAAATTAGAAACATTCTTTGCCCTCCGTGGAATTGAACCAACAGCAACTTGGGTGGCATGAGGCATTTATTTGAGCAGTTCTGTGAAAAAGTTAATTTATACATGAAAACCTTGACAAAAGAGTACTGGTATTGGATAAAGTCAGATGTGTACATACCAAATGGAATATCTTGTTCTTGAAAATTAGACATTTGGAAGACTTATAATTGTGACATTAGTTTTTGCAAACAAAAGTGGGTAACACTATTTTGAGGCAAGCAATGGATTTAATTTAAAATTCTCAATTCGGCTGCAGCTTTGTAAGAATTGTGATTAAAAATGTCAGCATTAATAATTTATGAGCTCAGCGCTTAACAGAACTTTATTTAGATTTGTTTGTTAAATGTTGTTTCATCTTTTCAAGTGCTAAACCAACAGCATTGCACTGTGCCTTTGTATCTTTTGATTGTTAAACAACATATTTTCCATATTGTGTGTTGTTATAATTCCATTTAGGCATATCTTTGTTTACGTTTCTCATTATCTGTGATATAAGAGGTCATCAAATAGATGACACACATTTTGCTTGTAAATATATTTATGTAAAATTTTGTACATTTAAGTTGTAAATAAATTAAATATAAAGAATATAATATATTATGTGGAATACATTCTGTCCATTAAACATGTGATAAATGATACATAGGCTTCTTGCTTCTTTATGTGAGTAGAGCATTTTGTCATAGCAAATATGAATAGGAAACTCTCTCATGGACACAAACACCATCAAATGCTCCCGAAATATTATTTGGTTGTGAAAGAAATTCTAGAATTACGGTGAAATCAGTCTGCATCCAACACCATCAGGACAAAATAGACAGGGTTTAGGTCCCAAAAGTGGAACTTACATAGTTACGTATACTTTGACATCTAGTTGAAAGTTTGATTTATACAGGGTTTTAGATGATATAAGGTCTCCTATATTATACAGGTTACAGTTTTGCTTAAAGCAGATAATTATTGCAGTGATTTAATTTTCACGCTTTATATAGTGCATTGAAAAGGCCAATTCAACCCTTTCCCTATAAATCAAGAAGATACAGCCATCAACATCCCTAGCTTATGAGGAAATGTTGCAAACTACAATTGTGAATGGTACAAGTAGCACACTGGCAACATATACTCCATCACTGATACTAGTATCAGCCATGTAGTGCTTATAGTTATCCAATATGGATGAAATAATTCTGATAAATGGATCGGACCATTTCTTCTTGACAAGGAAGTGAAGATCAACAGGCAATGAGTAAAGCAGCATCGATACAAGTTGGTTCCATGTATGCAGCACTTACACACTGATCCAGAAATGGATAAAGCAATTCTTCACTGCACAGACTCGCTTCTATGTCCCCTGCTAATTTTGTTTAGCAAGGAATTAAAAAAGCACATTCAATATTTCAATCGTCCTGAATAACACCTTCATTATCATCAACCTCAGTCAATGTCACAAGTCCAGTCAACATTTTATCCTGAATCAGTGAAGATAATTCTAGATCTATCAATGTACATTAGGTCATGCTTCAAAGATTGTTTACCTTGACTACATTTCACCTCTGTTTTACAGGTAGGTACATGTACTAGATAAGATCATTTATTTCCCATTTCAGTTAATTTTAATAAAAATGTCAATAATATAGTAGAAACGAGTGAGCCGGTCAGAAGCACCATTTCCCCCAAAACAACCTGAACAACATTTGATGATACAAAAATGGTTTTATTAGCAAGGGGCTGTGCTTGTAAAATGTTTGCTATTGTAGTTATAGTTGGAATTTGTTACTTCAAAGCTACGTTCTGGACAATTCTATTTTCAGCAAGTGACCCATGATCTCTGACAAACCACACCCAAAATGATACTTCCTCTCCCTAGAGCAACCCTTATCTTAGTCCAAGTTTTTTGTGATCATTTGTTCCGGGTTTGAATCTTGATACATATTCTATAGTATTGCATGTATAAGGTGACCTTGACCCTAGATAAACCAGAGGCCAAAAATCAATAGGGTTTCCTCTGCCCCAGGGCAACCCACACACAAAGTTCTAAAGTTTAGCATTAACAGTTAGGTTCACATTCTGTGAAATTGCATTTTTAGTAAGTGTCCTTGACTCTAGACGACTATTTGGTTCCTCCTCTTCCCTAAAGGTAACATGTACACCAAGTTTGAGCTTTATGCAATTATTCATTCTGAAGATGGTATCTGGATAAGAAATGTTCAATCTGTCTATACAGAAACAAATTTGTAATAAAATCATTCCACAGTGGTAGTTTCATTAGGCAGCTGTTCGGTCAATGGCTAACAAACAGTCCATTTTGACCAAATCACAAGACTTGTACTGAACCAGTCCCAGTTGACATGAATCGGAACATACATAATAAACGGAACAACCCTTACATGTAATCCTTTTCTATTGAATTTATTAAGAATTGCATCATAATATTAATTATCAGTTCATTCTTTGACAAATAAATAAATGTATTTTTTGACAAATATCAAATAACAAGAGGCAAAGAGGGCCTGCATATGGTCTTTTGATTGTTCAAATACTGTTTCTTTCGTCCTCAACAACATATGTCCCTTATTCCATCACATTATTTGTCTCTGTTGAACATTCTTGGTAATGCATCCGTATTGAGCCTCGATCATACTTCAATATCTCTTTTGATTTAAAGATCTGACGAAGGAGTTCCATGAAAAAGTTTGTGACTGATGTATCTGAATAAGACTAAATGTTCCATGATCACACTTATTTTTTGTTTGTACATATTAAATACAGTCTTGATGAAATCACTCTTCTAAATTTCATTGCATTACCATATATATTCACACTGGAGAGTGTTCCTGTGATCTTTGTCATCAAATTTTGTTCCTTTGTCATACAAGATTCCATTTGAGTTGAGTGCCTCAGTGCGATAATATATCTGTAACAAAAAAAAACACATCTGTTACTCTTATGGCTAGTACACGAATACATTGACCACTCAAAAAAACCCAAAACTATGATTATATTTTTAACAAAATTCACTCACTTTTGAAATTATCTTTATCAAATAACATATACAGTGTAAAGTTGTCTCCAGGTTTTGACATTTCAGTTTGTACAAACAATAAGATTAAGAACTCATCTTAAAATCAAGTGATATTACTCTTGCAGCCTGGTTCAAATTTAAATTCCACATGATTGATATTTTAGCATCGTGATTTTACCTCTGATGTACAACTTGTTAAATCCAATTAGTCAGAGAATTAAATCATCCCTATATTTTGAGATGTGTTTGATAATTTGGTCTTCTTGGGTATACTTTTAGAGTAAGTAAATTTGAATCCGATATCTTTACTTATTACAAAACACTATTTTTTTTAATAGCCAAGTAATTTAAAAATATATATTTCAGTAAGTGTGAAATTTGTGTGTAAGAATACAACCAAAACGTATTAATTGACGCCTTACCAATAATGTACCGATGGACTTTCCGTAAGTATTCCTGTGAGTTTTGGTCCTTCCTGTTACCAGCCGAAATGTCAATTCCATAGTCTGGTCCATACTCCATGAAATACTTAAAACACAATGAAAACAATTTAAACAAACCAACTTCACCAACATATCAACAGGGAGGCTGAAGTATTGCAATACAATGTACTTCAGTGTCCCCTATGATGACACATTGTCTAGTCCAATGTCCCCTATGATGACACTGTCTAGTCCAATGTCCCCTATCATGGCACAATATCTGGTACAATGTCCCCTGTGATGACACGTTGTCTAGTCCAATGTCCCCTTTGATGACACTGTCTAGTCCAATGTCCCCTATCATGACACAATATCTGGTACAATGTCCCCTGTGATGACACGTTGTCTAGTCCAATGTCCCCTATGATGCCACACTGTCTAGTCCAATGTCCCCTATGATAACACATTGTCTAGTCCAATGTCCCCTATGATGACACTGTCTAGTCCAATGTCCCCTATGATGACACATTATCTAGTCCAATGTCCCCTATGATGCCACACTGTCTAGTCCAATGTCCCCTATCATGACACAATATCTGGTACAATGTCCCCTGTGATGACACGTTGTCTAGTCCAATGTCCCCTTTGAGGACACATTGTCTAGTCCAATGTCCCCTATGCTGACACACTGTCTAGTCCAATGTCCCCTTTGAGGACACATTGTCTAGTCCAATGTCCCCTAAGATGACACATTGTCTAGTCCAATGTCCACTTTGATGACACATTGTCTAGTGCAATGTCCCCTATGATGACACATTGTCTAGCCCAATGTCCCCTTTGATGACACATTATCTAGTCCAAGGTCCCCTTTGATGACACATTGTCTAGTGCAATGTCCCCTATGATGACACATTGTCTAGTACAATGTCCCCTTTGATGACACTGTCTAGTCCAATGTCCCCTATGATGACACATTATCTAGTCCAATGTCCCCTATGGTGACACACTGTCTAGTCCAATGTCCCCTGTGATGACACGTTGTCTAGTCCAATGTCCCCTTTGAGGACACATTATCTAGTCCAATGTCCCATTTGAGGACACATTATCTAGTCCAATGTCCCCTATGATGCCACACTGTCTAGTCCAATGTCCCCTATGATAACACATTGTCTAGTCCAATGTCCCCTAAGATGACACATTGTCTAGTCCAATGTCCCATATGATGACACATTGTCTAGTCCAATGGCCCCATTGATGACACACTGTCTAGTCCAATGTCCCCTATGATAACACATTGTCTAGTCCAATGTCCCCTATGCTGACACACTGTCTAGTCCAATGTCCCCTGTGATGACACATTATCTAGTCCAATGTCCCCTATGGTGACACACTGTCTAGTCCAATGTCCCCTATCATGGCACAATATCTGGTACAATGTCCCCTGTGATGACACATTGTCTAGTCCAATGTCCACTTTGATGACACATTGTCTAGTGCAATGTCCCCTTTTATGACACATTGTCTAGTGCAATGTCCCCTATGATGACACATTGTCTAGTCCAATGTCCCCTGTGATGACACGTTGTCTAGTCCAATGTCCCCTTTGAGGACACATTATCTAGTCCAATGTCCCCTTTGATGACACTGTCTAGTCCAATGTCCCCTATCATGGCACAATATCTGGTACAATGTCCCCTGTGATGACACATTGTCTAGTCCAATGTCCCCTATGATGACACAATGTCTAGTCCCATGTCCCCTTTGATGACACATTGTCTAGTCCAATGTCCCCTTTGAGGACACATTATCCGTCCTATGTCCCCTTTGATGACACATTATCCGTCCTATATCCCCTTTGATGCCACATTATTTAGTCTAATGTCCCTTATCATACAACATCATTATAAAGTTACGCTCATATCTGTCATTATCTCACCTTTGATTAGTTATATCTGTAGATATTTTACCTGTGATCATGTATATGTGTTATTATCTTTCCTGTGATCAGGTATATCTGTCATCATCTTATCTGTTATCAATAGTATCTTTCATTATCTTAACTGTGATCAGGTATACCTATCATTATTATTTAACCTGTGATCAGCTACCAGTGTCTTACCTGATGATCAGGTATATCTGATGGCAGTTTTTTACCGACAGCTACACTTGTCAGAAAGGTCCAGCACCTGGCTGTGTTTGTGTGATGGTAGCCACCTACAGGAAACAAACGTTACAGTTAGCTTATGTTGTCTGTTCACTTAAGTGATTTAATGATTATTCCAATGAATTCAAAATAACAATGTGTGCTGAACAAAGCATATAGAATCAAATTGTTTTGCCAATATTCAATATGGCAGCTAAAAATCATAGGAAGCTACTCCAAGCTAGTATATATTTATGAGAATAAGTTTTGTGTTGATTATCAAGGAGGTACATTTGCAGATGTTCATCTTTTGAAAATATGAATTCCATAGATGATTACATTCGATATTGAATTACTATTTTCAGTTGTGAATGAAATTATATTCACAAATGAAACCTACAGCCACAGTAACATAAAGTACACACAAAACATAAAGTGATCTACAATACACAACTTATATCAACTGACTGATTATAAAGTAAAAGGACAAAGTGACAAGGAATACATTCTGGCAATCTTATTGCCTTAATGGAGAATTACTTACCTCCTCCCAGCAGAAGTGTGGGGAGTGCCCAGTCTAACAGGAAGTACACACAGCGGCCTAACGACAGCGGAGTGAGGTTGAAAGAGTCCATAGGATCACCAACCAAACCATCCGCCCCACACTGACAAACTATCGCCTCAGGTCTGAACACAGTGCGCACCTTCTGTATCACCCTGGACAAGAGAGGTACATGATTATGACAGTCAACACTTCAAATCAATAGTAGGGAAAAGAGCTCTTTCTACAAAGTAAACATATTAGCTTCATGTTCGGGAAATTACATTTTTTTATACTTCATTTTATCTGAACCGTCGGCTCATTTTAAAACTATCTGAAAGTGGCTAACATTATAAAGAAAGAAAAATAAAATTCTACCTGCAAAACAAAGCGACAAACTCCTGGTCCCTAGCACCATCTTGTAGCGGGATGTTGATAGAATATTTCTTGCCCTTGCCAATTCCAATATCTTCTAGCTGTCCTGAACCTGAAATAACCAGCATATAGCTTTTAATCTGTTAGTGGTTTCAGTCCATTATAACAATGACCTACATTATTGTCTTCTAGTATGGCATCGCTTACAATAGATTGTTTTAATAGGAGCTTCAGTGTGAGGAAATTCAAATTCAAATTCCATACCAAATAATTACTAAAATTTCTTCAAAAATTTACATCAACTTCGACGCCTACTTAATATCAAAGAGTAGCAGGAGTACACTGACAATCTAGTTTAAAACGAAAAAAGAGTTATTCCAAAAATTTCTCATAAACAAAATTGTCTTATGAATAATTAAGGCTCTACTACTTTATGTTTTAACAGACCTGAGCAGTCACTTGCTCCATAACTCTATGAGCTTGATATCAAAGTTTTACTTTTTACTTTTTACACAAACAATGTACGTATTAAACGTGCCGCAACGTTTCAAGACCGGCTGGTCCCTTTGTCAAGCTATGACTTCATGAGTGCTTATCTTATTACATTTTACCCTCACCTGGGAAGAATCCAGCAGCATATTTGTGTATGGAGACCGTCATTACTGCTGATGTGGCATAGAAAGCATTCTGTACACCATCTCCATGGTGTAGGTCCAAATCGACATACAGCACCCTGGAGAACTTCTCTCGTAGCTTGAGTATCCCAAGGACGATGTCATTGACATAACAGAAACCCGATGCGCTGTCCCTATCATACGGGAAAACAAATGTTCTCCAATTAATGCAATTTATTCGAGAACTAATATCATCATTTTAAATAATTGCTTCAGTTCTGTAAAAAGTACAAGTATTGAGTGATTCTGGTTATAGTAACTGGCAAGGTCACAATGACATATGATATGACATATTCATCAAAGCTTATAATCAGCTGTTTGTTTTCTAAGCCTGATCAAATAGTATTTTTATTCTACTCTAAAATATTTCACAAAGAGTTCTAAAAACACAAAGTTTTCAAATACCGATATCATTCAGTATTCTTATACAGCCTGCGATCACCAGCTTTCAATGGATTTAGCTTCGATATGTAGTTTGCTGACTGGTGTAAGATAATGATATAAATGCTTACTTTTGAGCATGATGCCATCCACCACACCAATTAATGGCCACATCACACTGCCTGCGGATCAATTCCTCTGCTGCAGAGACGGTGGCTCCTCCCACAGACAGGGCGTAGTCAAACACGCCCTGATGGACAGGACAGTCATAGGCTGTAAGAGTTCCAAACATCTTTACAACTTGTTAGAAGTCAAAGAACCTATATGTTTAAGTACAAGCATGATTATATAATTATAACCGAACATGAAGTAGTGGTTCTTGTATATTGTATTAGTAATCTAACGATGGATAAATTATGCTAAAAAGTGGATAAATTATACCAAAAGTACCTTCATTGTGTGACATTACAAAACACATTTGACACCAAAACAAATAATACATGTACCAACTTATCAACCAATAGTGTGAGCATGTACCTGTTTATGTAAACTTCAGTAAAATATACATCACACCCAGTATCAACCCAAGTCTCCAATATCAGCCCGAGGGCCGAGGCCGAAGGCCAGAGGGCTTATATTGGTCGAGGGTTGATACTGGGTGTGATATGGAAAAAGGCATGTTTTATTCTGTTTATTGCATATATATATATACTTACTAATAAGATACGGATAGATCTTCTATCTTATGATCTATTTTTCTTTTATAAGGGTTCAGAATGACGTTGTTGTTAGTAGATGGGAAAAATTAGAAGTGTTCCAAAAGAGGTGTGATACGGGTTTTGCAGGTTGATATGGAGAGGGCTGATACCGGTTTAGGGGTGTGATACGGCGAGGGCTGATATGGGTTAAAGCAGTTGTGTCGTATCGCATATACAATTTATTTTTTATTTTTTAGTAAGTATGTACATGTATTAAGTAGTTATAAAAGCTTGTAATGAACCCCACAACACCTCAGATAGTTACTACACACAGGTAGTTAATTTTAAGACTTATAATTCCTTTAACTAGTTTACAAGTATAATATCAGACCAAACTAATAAATTTGTATGCTGTTTGCATTACTAATTAAATTAACTCCATTTTATTGTCTGTAGATGTTGAAATATTGCATGAAGCTAAAATTACAATTCCACATCAACTTAAGTATTGATATAGAAAAAAAAGGGCCAATCAATATGTAAGTATGTAGTATTTGTATATTCTACCCCAGGGTGTAGACTTTGGGTAGGATCCTAATTCCTCAATTCTGACCGAATTCTACACCCTCAGGTAGAATGTCTATATCCCACATACTGTACCAACATATATGAGACTCTATCAATCAATCAAGTTTACGATATCACAGATTCATACTCAGGCCAAACTGTGCCGCTTCTTCATCGTAGATTTCTTCATCCTCCTGATCATTGATTTTCTTCAGAAATTCTATATATTCGGGGGAATGAAACAGACAAAGTGATTCTTCTGTCGCTTTGGAAGGGTCAATAACTCTGTAATATATAAAGAGATATAAACTCATAATGTGTAACTATAATGTATTTTGTACACGTTATACAAGTAAATATTTGTAAAACATACAGGTACACTTGACCCTGCTACCATTTAGATGGACATGGATCACAGTGAGCTACATCTCACATATACTGATGGTGTAGTATTCCTCAGTTAATATATATGTGTTTATATACAGTTTGGTGACTATGGGACAGAAATTCAAAACAAACCATTTACAGTGACCTGATAGTATTGGTCTCCTGAAGATGCATCTACAAAGAACATTTGATGACTGTTGTACTTGTAGTACCAGTAAAATCTAAATGGAAAGTTTTAACAAAAATCAGTGATGCAGAAAATATAGGTCACAGTGACCTACATTCACATGATGTTGTACTTCTGAAGATGTATTTCCATAAGCACTATCACTAAAGTCTCCTCCATTAAGTAGAGGGAGTATAAATATATTTTCTGGCATGCATCACTGCAATATTACAGTCAACATATATATATATTTATACAAATACATGTAGTGCAATGTTTTTTTCAATACTGATATATGTTATAAATTTACCTCATATATTTGAGTATTCCATAAGCTTCAATCAGACTGTGCACCATGCCTGCCTGTCAATGATTGAAACAGAAACAATCAATTGGAACAATAGTTAAATTTCCAGTAAACTATACAGTGAACATTTATTCAGGAGAACAAAAGATACAAATAAATGTTATTTTATTGCAAATTCAAATAATCATGCACAGGTTCTACAAAACATGAAAACAAAAACTGATTTACAGCCAAAATAATTCCAGTAAAAGTTGATCAAATGAATTCAGTGACATCCAGCTGTATTAAAGGAAATCTAAAATTTAACATCAATAGGCCTAATGACCCCCTGTAATACAATAAACTTGACTTGACTGACAATTGACAATTTTAATGACTTCCTGTTAATACAACTGTACAATGAAATTTTAAACTTGACTCAACTGACAACTGACATTTTTAATGACATCCTGAAATACAATGAAATTTGACTTGACTGACAACTGACATTTTTAATGAAACCCTGTAATACAATAAACTTGACTCGACTGACAACTGACATTTTTAATGAAACCCTGTAATACAATAAACTTGACTCAACTGATAACTGACATTTTTAATGACACCCTGTTAATACAATAGAACTTGACTCGACTGACAATTGACATTTTTAATGACATCCTGTAATACAATAAAATTTGACTTGACTGACAACTGACATTTTTAATGACATCCTGTAATACAATAAACTTGACTCGACTGACAACTGACATTTTTAATGAAACCCTGTAATACAATAAACTTGACTCGACTGATAACTGACATTTTTAATGACACCCTGTTAATACAATGGAACTTGACTCGACTGACAATTGACATTTTTAATGAAACCCTGTAATACAATAAACTTGACTCGACTGATAACTGACATTTTTTATGACATCCTGTAATACAATAAAACTTGACTCGACTGACAACTGACATTTTTAATGACATCCTGTAATACAATTAACTTGACTCGACTGACAACTGACATTTTTAATGACATCCTGTAATGCAATGAAACTTGACTGACAACTGACATTTTCAATGTTACCCTGTAATACATTAAAACTTGACTTGACTGACAACTGACATCCTGTTATGCAATGAAACTTGAATTGACCAACAACTGAAATTGTTTAATGACATCCTGTTAATACACTGGCATGGAAATATATATGCTGTACATATCATATGCATGCTAACAGGAAAGGGGTCACAGACAAGTGCCAATCTGATCAAAATGAAAAGAATTAGTTCTACAATGAACATTTATTTTTTATTTAACAGCTGATGTCAATTCATATGGCTTCTGATATACTTCATGTACTTCTTACGTACTTTGTAAAAAAAACTTTATGCACCAACAATACTTACCCTGTTAGGAATCTTTTGCATGAGGTTACATTCCTGAATCAACTCTTTACTATACACATAGGACACCCTTCGTTGAAGCTTTGTTTTGTTGCTCATGGTAACCTGTGCAGGTACTGGTACTGGTGATTCCTTAGAAGCATCCTTATTTATGTTTGACTTAGAACTAACACATGTATCTGTTCCACTTTCCTTTACCTTTTCTGAAATATTAGTTAATCCACTAGCAACATCATCTTGCACCTTCTCTGATAAAAGCACAAGACCGTTTTTATTGATCACATTTTCTTTGTTGTCCCTCTTTGCGGTCCTCAAACTTTGTAATGACTGAACAGTTACTTCCTTATAATCTTCCTCCATTTCAAGGTCATACACACTCTTTACCTGTATACCGTGGTCACTTTCTACTGCTACAGGTAAATCTGCAGGTGAGACATTGTCACCTTTATCAAAATGTTCCCTTTTCTGTTCTGTATCATTAGCAGAGCCATCCCAGTTACCTATAGAAGGTGTAACAATATCTGTTTCTTTATCTTTACCAGTAGATTTCTCCATCTGTGAAATATTACAACTGTTTATTATCTTTTCATCCTCAGATTTCACCTGATAATTTTCTGGGTTACCAAGGTTTGCTACATTGGTATGACTTGTTTCAATAGGGGTAGTTACGACAGACATGTTTCTACTGGACGGACAATGACCATCACCAGATAACATCGTACATTGAACAATTTCTTGACCCTCTGCCGCGGCTGATGCCAGCCAATCAGAGCTACTGGGACCGACGTCTGGATCTGAGCGGACTCTCTTTGCTGGTCGTCCTATATCCATGGTCTCGTGATTCACTGCATCACATCTTCATCAGCATAGAGAGATGCAAGGACAATTTTCAGCCGTTCAATGCCCTGGACAGCTATGAACATTAATTCCTGAAAGGAGAAAAATAGACAATGGCATTTATAAACAGAAACTGTGTACAGTGTATCAAGATAGAGGTCTACTACATGTACTAGTGTTTAGGTGTTTTCACAAATTTCTAGCTATATATTATCAGAACATTTTTTGAAGTGCCTCAAGAACAATGTCAAGAATATAGGGCAGGTGAGCTAAAAATTAACTAATTTAGACCATTGGTGGCAAGCAATTAATATTTTATAGTTTTTCTCTTATTTATTAATACTAAAACAAGATAATTCTACAATGATTTGTTCTTGGTGATCAAGACTTAAAACTCAACAGTACAGTACACAAGCCTAAGAAATTGGTGAAAATATTATACTTTAGGATTATTCCTTCCTACATGTTAAAATATTTAGATATCAATATATATATATTCAGCAGTGGTAGATCTAGACACTTATATATTTCGGAGTAGGTGGTAAAGTTGGCAGGGGGAGGCCTAGGGGAGATTTCCAAATGGGGAAAGACAGGTTTTTTTTAAGAAATGTTGCTGCAAGGAGTTCCTGGAGCCAAGATGATCATTCTGCATCAGTCATTGTTTTCTGTTTTAGTGGATTTATTTTCTGAACTAATTTCACTTTGTGGCAAAGTTCCTTCCTCTTGGGAAGGTTCTCTGTATTTTCCCCAAATCAGAACAAAACTTATTTTCCCCATATCAGAACAAAATTTAGTACTAACTGTTCTTTCACAAAATAGACTTTCAGTGTGATATTTTCCCACAAAATGAGTCACAAATATTAAATTGTGGTCTTTAAATATGACTTAAGGGTTTAAGTTTTGGGTGACTATACATAAAATCTTTTAGCTATAGGCCGGGGCTTGTTGAACCTTAAAGGGACAATTTAGTGAAGTAAGTTTTTTTTATAACGTTGTCACAAAATTCTTCATGATTATATAGTTTGATAATCCTTATGGACAATTCATGTTGAGAAATTGACAAGAGACCATGTTTTCTTGGCGTTTTTAATCAGTAAAGGAGAAATCCTTAACTGTACAGCCGTACGTTTTTGCGCAGCTGTCAGTGAATTTTTAGCTAACAAAAATGTCTTTCCTGCCGAGGAGTCTTAGGAGGAGAGATTAATTAGGTAGCTTCTCTCTTTTATTCACCTAGCCTGTCTGAAATACAAGTACATGCATCTATCCCGAATCAACATCATCTTTATCTCAAACATCGTTATAAATGATCAAGTGATCTATATTGATATCATACTTTCTGCGGTTTGAAATTCTCTTTGCGGCACCCTCTCAGTGCATGCATGCTCTAAATATAATCTAACCTGTTCGTTTTATTCAAATCCAAATATGAACAGGCCCGGATATTGCACTATTTCTGTTGTAGCTATTTTTATCACTGGCTTTCCCAAAAAATGAAACTGACCACACTGGACGATGACGTCAGGTCATGTGGTTATCAACCACGAAAACTTTCGTTAGGAGATATATATTTTCAGTATCGACTCATTTTCAGGTTGTCACTCGACTAAAGAGCCCATTTAACATTCAGTAATTTGCTCTGCTTACATCACAAGTAATATTTTTTGTCCGTCCATACACAGACAACATGTAGCAGGTGAAACGTATCATAGATATAGACAGACAGTAGCGAGTGGCTATAGTTATCAGGTTGTCTGGTTATAGCCACAGGCACAGGGACAGGGACATAAGAACATATTAGGATTATTACAGAAAGAATTTCAACGTTTTATGACTAGCCCGAGTTTCATCTGGCCCTGATAGCAGACTTAGACATTTGGACAGATATATAGTAGCTATAGATGTCTGGTGCGGGTACACCAGAAACTCGGTCTATTTTGTGATAGACATCCCCTCTCACCTATAATATAATCGCCTTTTCCCACATGCATCTACATCTGGAATGTGAAAGTATTCACATATATTGACAATAAAGTAGGATAGGGAACAATATTTCATTTTTCACAAACTTTTCTCAGATCGTTAACAGGTAACAGTTACTGAGATATGTAAACAACGTAACAATTCTTAGCAGAACGCTTACCGTTCCCGCGCACCTCTCAAACTTATTAAGAAGAGTAACTCCAAGGGAGTGTACTCTTGTAGTCAATTTTATGCTACTCATACCATATGTGTTTGAAATTCTGACTGTAAATCGAGATAAAAATCATATAAAAAAATAAGGGTATTATACTTTTTTTATAGTATTACCCTTATTTTTGTATATTGATTTTTATCTCAATTTACAGTCAGAATTTCAAACAACTTTGCTCATACAATTGAAATTGTGTAAACTATGCTCCTCGTGGATCCTTAAGGAATTGGACAAATCAAAATATTGTAACTAAAGTAGGTTTTTGTTTGTCGCGGTTCAAGGCCTATTTACCCATCGTAAGATCTACAAAGTTAGATGATTACGATGGCCTTGCGTCCAAGTGTTTTTCAAGTATAGCATTTTTACTGAAATCAACGTAATAATAAATTAATTTTGAACTTAATCGCAACAAACCTATCAAAAAAAACGTAACAATTATCAGACACTTAGATTGTTTTAAGACGACTAAAAAAGACTACTCCAACATTCATTTAAATCAGCAAGAGACTTGTCCTGACTACCGTCAAATACAAAAGAGTATATAAGATACAGTGAAAATGTCTGTTTCTGATGGCAACTGAAATATATCTTCGGTGTGAACCTTAAACTTAGCCAGTAGATCACACATGACGCATTTATCAAGAAAGATCTGAAACTTTTATACAAATCATGTAACGAATCAATGGATGTGATGTGATGCTGGACGGCATGTAATTATCTAGGTAAAGTATCAAACTATGGAAAGGAAAAATAGCATTAATCTCTCCTAATTATATATGGAAGGGAAAATAACATTGATCTATGACTATAAGTCTGCTGTATCTACATGTTGATGTAAGTGAATGCGACCGAACAGACGCTGTCAGAATTAGTGGTTGTACATTTTCCCCGATATATTTTCCATATAGTTGCTTATTTTGAAAATATACCTTTAGCAGAGATAGATACTCACAATATATATGTACAAGATTGATTTTTCTTTGCTACGGAGTCTACTCGATATTTCCGTTTGTTTTATTTCTCAGCGATTCGTGTAATAAATTCTTAAGACCGATCTACTTGAGATGAAGCATACATGTATTTCTTCAATTTTCCTGGTATTATATAATTGTACCTTGTCGTTGATCGCAACAAACATGGTATTATTTGTCAAAATGCAGTCAATATAAAGTATGTCTTCAGCTAACACTATCCATATTTTTCTATATGACTATTCTATTTCATTGTTATCAATGTATAAATGTTGAAGTAATATGCCTATGAGCCGCCAGACTTAAAGCTAATAAACACTTTAATACAATACAACTATATGTACACAGATGATGAATGTCAATACAGACCCGTAGTTGCCACGAATGGTAGTAAGTTGTTTGGATAATGGCTTGTTTGAGCAGCTGTAAGACTTAGCCAGCGATAAAATGTTCTTGTACCACGTGCAATCTAATACAAACGAGGTAGGTCCGTATTCTCATTATTTAAGGATTAACTTGAATATAGTTTTCATGTTATGGAGCTATAACACAAAAAACGGAGTTTACTCTAAATAAACTGCGAAGCGGTTTATGATGAGAGTACACTCCGGTTTTTTGTGTTATAGCTCCATAACATGAACAATATATTCAAGTTAATCCTTATAATTTAATCTACTTTACACAATCCCTGTGGAAATCCACTTTTATTGATGGACTCTTTTCTCTTAGAAATTATTGCGCTGCCGTATCAGCCAATCAAAAGCGACGTTACAAACGGCGACGTCATTTTTTTACGTTATAGACTGATAACATAAATTTGTAAGCCAATGAAAATGCTTGTTACAAGCAAGATTAAATTATTAATTTGTATTGGGAAAGGTTGTAATACAGAAGTGTGATTAGCTAGTATTTCAGTCTTTCGAAAAATTAGATAATATACAGGTATTTAAGCGTCGTTGTTATTGCAATCATGAAATGCAATAGTGTTTGCAGATTAAAGTGTACATTATTTAGATGCGTTGAATGCAAGCACATCAACATGTATACTTATCTGAGTGTGGGTCAAGAAATGTAGACTTGTGTTTTGTTTTCATTTTGGAATTCAAGCTGCTTATTCCTTTTTTGAATGGCGGATATGATATATTTGATTCACCCTGAAAATGATTCAATTCAGCATGTTCTCTCGTTTTGCCCATTGTTCGGCGTTGTCTTCCACAGAATCCACCAGTATCTTGAAATTCACACGTCTCATACGTTGACCGTATGAGACTCTCGGTACATAGAAAAACTCATTAACAGCTCTCGTTACTTTGTATTAAGGATAATACATGTATTTAGATCTGAAGTTGCTACGTATACAGCTAGACAATAGTTGTATCGGGATTTGGAGCAAGAACATACTGATGGAGAAGTCATTCTAAAACATCTATCGTAATCACTCGGCCTTTTCCGTAACCGAGACCGAGGAGTTCCGATTGTCTAAAACATTGGTAGCGTTTGCTCGTATAGGTGAAAAGCTCGGAAGCAACGCGTTTAGAATAACGTTATGAAATGATTGAAATACTTTTGCATCTGAAGTAATTAAGATATTACTGACGTAAATGACATCCATACCCTTGCTGGCATATCGGACAAAATCGATGAGGTCATATTTATTGAAAACTCTTGACGACTATTTGAACTTTAAATTATTAGTCTCTTTTTCCTTTAACCTTTCCTCTTACATATCGGTGAGTACAATGGCTGCGAGACAAGATAAATATACAAAGCCGACCCAAATACAGTTCTACCAGTGATTTTGCCCCTGTGGCATGTGCCTGTTGATTTGGGAAAATATCACCCACAAAAAATCATGATTTCGGGAAATAAAGTGATTTTTGCATTGATTTTTGGGGGAAAACAGCAGAAATTATCTAGGGGAAGGGGCCTTATTTCAAATTAACCTTAAAATATCACTGTCTACATTTAGTGAATACTGAACATTGTAACTATGGAATACTTTTAAGAAGCTTCGAATTCAGGAGTATGATTCCCCCAGTGCGAAGTATTGCTAGCTAAAATCTCCGCATCGTCAGTTAGCCACGACATGAAAATGACACCATCTGGAAGGTAAATAATACTATAACTGCGTGATATACCATCCTAGATATCCAGGGGTTACACTCACTTTCGCTCTCTGCACCCCTGGAATATGTCATAGCAAAATTGAAGCACGAAAATAGCTGTTTGATTGGTCTGAGGTAAAAAAAAACAAAAAAAAACAACCTGATCAATCGCCTGTCCTTTGAAGATTACAAAGGAGAGACGTCGACTTCAAAGTCAATCAATTTTTACCGTTACGCGACCGCGAGATTCTTTTGATGTATATCAAAGGATCGAACTAGTCTCCTTGTCTCATCAACAAGGTGGCGCACACCGATCCTTCAATTTTGCTATGACATATTCCAGGGGTGTAGAGAGCGTAAGTGAGCGTAACACCTTTATATCGTGCAGAGAGCGTAAGTGAGCGTAATCCCTGAATATCGTGCAGAGAGCGTAAGTGAGCGTAACCCCTGGATATCGTGCAGAGAGCGTAAGTGAGCGTAACATCTGGATATCGTGCAGAGAGCGTAAGTGAGCGTAACACCTGGATATTGTGCAGAGAGCGTAAGTGAGCGTAACATCTGGATATTGTGCAGAGAGCGTAAGTGAGCGTTACACCTGGAAATCGAGGATGGTGCTTTATGCCTTTATCTATTTACCTTTCAATGTTTTCAATTTGCTCCATAGATAACTTTTAATCGTTTGCATGGTTTTGACCTAAATATCACAAAAGGACAAAATTAAATCTTGAGTTAAAGATATCTTTCATTTGTACTCGTTGACTCGTTTGTTATAACATGCTAAGTTGGCTTGCAATACAACTTAGAAATGCAGTTGGTTGTCGATATCTCCAGATGTTTAGATATTTTGGAAAAGTGTGTTTTTAGCAGGTTATAACTACATTCTTTATGTATATATATACACTAACTCCACCGATATTATAAGCTGCACACAGCCGCCGAATCCTGTATACCATATACTCTAGCTCTGCTATACACTGTATTACCTGCTAACACCTGATATATCAGATATATATATATATATATGTATGTATACGCATGTTTCTAGCTTCCAATAAAACAACATCTGTATACAATTCTATGTACTCAGGTAGGCTCGATCAGAAGTCGGTATAAATTTTAAACATTTAGGTACCGGTGTAACTACATAATTATTGGTACGCCATACCCATTTACTGTTACCTAGTAACCTTACCTGTTAATATCTGACACGAATGTTACATGTATGTAGGTGTATGCTGTACAATAGTGCGTATATTGTAAAACACTACTTTGCTACACAGCCTATAGATACAACCTGCTGGTGTTATTTCAAGGAACACACGAGATTTGCATCTTTTACAATACACTTTCAGCTTCCCCGTTCGTCATGCGCAGTAGCAAAAATCAATAATGAATGTCGATTGTACGTGGATGAAAGAGCGACTTCATTCTAAGGCAGTTGGGAATCCCCGGTTCTGTGCCATGACGCTGGAGTGTTATCTATTGACTGGCCAGGCTGACATGGGTGGAGAGGGTTCCCAGGGTAATTGTGTTCGACCTTCATTTTACATCCTAGGATGATTGTATTTAAGTGTATTGGTGTTTCATGTACAATGTTATCCAGTGTGTAATTGAAGACTCAAAAGAGGATTTCGGATTCATACACATTCTATTTATACAAGACCACATGCAACCCAGTGTACAGACATCGGGGCCCATTATTACTGATGTAAACACACAGTTGTGAATAATGAAACCGTTCAATGGACAAGCGAAGATGTTAAACGGCACAGGTGAGCACGGATGGCTTAATACTGTGAAAGCTGGGTACAAACGATTGATTTTGGATAAGGTTGGACCCCCAATACCAGCGGAGAGGGGCAACACTCTTCTTATAGACATTTTGAAAAGCCTAGGGTGAGTTACACATTTAATAATGTAAATACTGTATTGTGTTCTGGTATAAATGTATGACGGTACTTAACGCTTGGTGATGGTACGACTACCATATTACGGTAGGGTGCAAGATCAGTGATTTTTCGATTTGCTTAAATTATACATACATGAATAATCTAGATACTATCAACTATTGCATATTGACTAGTTTGGATAAGATAAGGTCATGTAGTTTTATGTACATAAATATAAACATGAAATACATTGAGCAGACGACTACTTGGCGCACGTGCTGATGTAGTTGAATGGGCTTAATTAGATTCAAGTGCCAAACCATGTGGTATGCTTTTACGTGAGAATTGTTATTTTTTGCTAAGCATTTCAGTGATGTGTACTTTTTCTCATTTTCTGGTTTTTATCAAAGGGATTTTTGTGTGCATACATCAATGTTTCACTTCTCAGCTTCTTTCCATATTATCTATACTTTATCATATCAGGATACCCACTATTTAGCTTATTGCCAATACAATGTACTTATTCTTGTAAGTCTTTGTCATATTTACACTTGGCTTTAATCTCACAATTTCCAACTCCAGCATTTAAGTATCAAGCGACGCTGGTTGAATTTATTTCATTAATAAAAAAAAAATAAGGCTCGATGCACTGAATTTGATCATTCATGCGTGCGTGTGTTTTACGTGGTATTGTGATCGACACGGTGATCAAGGAGCCTATAGCTTGGCAAATACTGTGAAGAGATTTTGTATTTAAATTTTCGCAAATATGCTTCTGTAACGACCAAAACACCGAAAGTTTGATATCCCAAATAGAGAATTACGAATATTTAGCTCTAAAACATGTCTGAATAAAAGTTAGCAACATTAGAAAGGGTAGTCAATATTCGCATGTGAAAATATTTGCGATTTGGATCTACAACATGTAAGAGATGACTATGCTGCAGGACCTGCCTCGTTTGTATTGGAATCCGAAACTTCACAAGAATCCTCATAAACAACGGTTTATTGTGGGATATTTTATTTGCTCAAAATTAACCCAGTATTCAAACTTTTCACTATCAGTCTTAGTAACATTATATCAGGGTAACAGTCGGTCGTATTGAGACACGATATACTCAGAAATGGAATAAATGGAACGTGAATTTTGATAAAAATCTGTTACCACACGTATGACATTTCGACCCTCAACACTATCTTACCTCATACCTTACTGAGGGGAACGCATTCCTTCTCTTATTATGAGCCTTCGCCTTTCTAAGGAAGCCACAAGGCGATACAAATATGTAATTGTAAATTCTGTTAGAACATAATATTATGATGAAAAGGACTGCAAAGCAAAAATGAAATATACTGAGAATGAAATCATGAGAATGGTTGAGTTCCTGGTTGACAATTTATTTGTTGAGTTCGGTGGCATTCCAATGGTAACCAACTGTGCCCCTCCTCTAGTCGATTTGGTTCTGTTTTCATACGAAGTTGAATTTATTGATGAACTTTTCATGACTGATAACGAAAAACTTCCGATTTCACATTCATTCAGATACATCGACAATTACAGTGAATTCATCATTAATCACATCGATTGTATACACTATAAACTTTCCATCTTAGCTGCCTTCTTCGATCTTTAACTACCAAGCTGTACGATGCATGGGACTATTTCAGTTCTCTGATCCTGCACGTTCACTTTGGGAGGCCGACCTTAAATGACCATAGCTGTTGATACGACGTTAAACAATACTAAACCAAACCAAACCAATTTACAGTATTTATGACAGACTTATGAACAACAAAGTATAGAAAATAACTTACCGCTACCAATGGGTTTATTCTATCCAGCTGTGATAATAGGTATATGCACCGCATTTGGAAACCTATTTTAAATTTTAATTTGTTCATTGAAATGTTCAGCATCTGCAGATGATATAAACAGTGTGTTGTTTACATGATTGGCACGTGCTTGTTAAATTACAAACGTATCACGCTGTGAAAAGCTTTGCTGTTCATTAAGTCAGGAAAACTTTAAATAATTACTTGAATTAGGAATCAACGTACACGATTGATGCGTATGTGTGTGTCAGAAAATTAATGATGGTGGAATATGCGTTCATTAGCATCTTAAACACTGTATACTTGATTTTTAAGTCGAGCATGAATTAAACTGTTCAGCGGATATTCATATTGAGACATAATTAGATACAGGGTATTAATATATATTCATTATTATCATTGTTTCGAATGAAACCACTCTCAAAAATTAAGAATTCAAGGAGATCAAAGACTGCATTAAGATAATGAGCGTTATTTTAGAGGAGTGTTTAGATGAGTGATTCGTTAGAATGGTTCTATATGCAGGCTAGAGGAGTAACGATTTACGTTGATACAAGTCAATGGCTAAAACACCACGTTCATCAGCTGGTCACGTAAATACTTTTCCCAAAACAGTTGAAATCTCCCTCAACGCACGGAGTTTTAAAGTCAGGCTTTTTAAAACTGAATAGACTTGACATATAATACATGAGCGTTATTCAGTCTCTGCTGTATTGGTGAACAGATGGGTGATTCCTTAGAATGATTCTGTATGCAGGACAAGAGGAGTAACGATTTACGTTGATGTCCCCAGGGACATTGGCTGTTACTGCCGCTGTCGTGTGGTACGCTATGCCAACAGATCGAACACTCTCTACCTAAATGTTACCACTGCTTGCTACATACGGATAAATCAAATTGGTTTGTTATTTATTTGTTAAACATTTTGTTGCATGAACTAATGCCCTAACCAGCAGCACACTATTAACTTGCATTTCCCGTTTGACGTGCAGGGAACTAAGTACGTAATTAAAAGCTGTTCCGAGCACAGATATATTGGAATCATTGATTGATTGGAAGGAGTTGGTGTCCTTGTATCTCCACATGAACGATCGATGGGTCAGGCAGTACAATAGGCACATACTGTAGCCTAGAAACAAATGTTATACATCAGGAATGTAGTTGTTTATTATTTGTTCTGGGTTTTGAAGCTTAGGTCATTTGAAGACGGGTTAAAGAGGTGATGGTCACTCAAGGAAACGGCATCCCACCCTGTCACATTATTCAGACAACGGAGAGAAAAACTGAAAAGAAAGACTGGTAGAGGTCCCTATAGGAAAATTGGAGAGGCAGATTATTTCTGGTTTCTCCGATCCAATAGCCTCTTAGCAGGAGACGCAGAAGAAAACCCCAACTCTCCAGGGGTGCCCACGTTAGTCGCCTCACACGATCACATGCCTTAAGATTCACTTGTCTGTTTTCCCTTAACATAAAAAAATACAGATACGATATAACCTAACCATATAATAATAATAATAATTCGAGGTTCTTATATACCGCTTTATCACAACCTAGTTCGTAGGTCGTCTGAAAGCGGTTCACAAAATATTATCCGTGGTTATAGGGCCTTTGCATCCAGCCAGTATCATTCTCAACTCCATGGGGAGCATACAGCCGGTGCTGCCATTTCGGCGCTCACAGCTGAGTAGACTGGAACAAGCGGAGTAAAGTATCTTGCTCAAAGATACAGCACAGTGCCGTGACGAGAGTCGAACTCACGAACCCAGCGTCCTACCACTAGACTATCGTGCCTCCTATCCTGTATTGTCTACAAATTTCACTTTCACTTCTGGTTTTATATAGAATCTTATGGCTTAAACTATCTGTTACTATAAAGGGTCACTCAGTTTTGAATCAATTCCAATTAATTCATTGACCAATTTCAGGTCTATGTAATTAATGTATTTTCGATTTCGAGTCTTTTAAACAGTATTAATGTGTTGGTAGAACTGTTTCTGCTATATCGACCTTGTATTGACGATGTTGTTGTATACTCTGATATTTTTGTTTCACTATTTAATTATATAAAAAGCTTCATCATCGCATGTGCAGCCAATTAAAACCATTACTTGAGCGCATGTAAATGATGCAATAGACAAGGCTGATTAATGTGGATTACATGGCTTCTCTACGGTACCTGCTTCACTTCTGCGGTAGGCTATTTTTGTATAAACAACCTCTCTGAAGGTCAAGCAGTCTTCTGAGTCTGCAGCCTATTCTAATCGTCCGCATAATGGAGATAACGTCTAATTGAGGAATATGATCACATGTATTTGATATCTCCAGTATACTCGATGGATAGCGAATCTCTAGGCAGAATTGCATGTATTGATGTCTTTAAGTGCGTACGGGGAAAAAGGAAAAGTCTGACGTGTAGCGCTTGATTCAAAGAGATAAAGTGTCTCTTCGGGCAACAGTCAAATGACTCCGAGAGTCCAACATGTTCTATAGTGCAGTCTGGCCTGAAACCACTACCAAATAGGTGAAGTGTCAATCAAAACAACAGGCAAATGTCTCCAACATGTTCTGTAGTGTAGTCTGGCCTGAAACCACTACCAAATAGGTGAAGTGTCAATAAAAACAGCGGGCAAATGTCTCCAACATGTTCTGTAGTGTAGTCTGGCCTGAAACCACTGCCAAATAGGTGAAGTGTCAATCAAAACAGCAGGCAAATGTCTCCAACATGTTCTGTAGTGTAGTCTGTCCTGAAACCACTGCCAAATAGGTGAAGTGTCAATCAAAACAGCAGGCAAATGTCTCCAACATGTTCTATAGTGTAGTCTGGCCTGAAACCACTGCCAAATAGGTGAAGTGTCAATCAAAACAGCAGGCAAATGTCTCCAACATGTTCTGTAGTGTAGTCTGACCTGAAACCACTGCCAAATAGGTGAAGTGTCAATCAAAACAGCAGGCAAATGTCTCCAACATGTTCTGTAGTGTAGTCTGTCCTGAAACCACTGCCAAATAGGTGAAGTGTCAATCAAAACAGCAGTCAAATGTCTCCAACATGTTCTATAGTGTAGTCTGGCCTGAAACCACTACCGAATAGGTGAAGTGTCAATCAAAACAACAGTCAAATGTCTCCAACATGTTCTGTAGTGTAGTCTGTCCTGAAACCACTGCCAAATAGGTGAA